GAGACAATCTGTGTGTATTGGAGGTGATCTCTGTGTAAGTGGTGTTGACTTGTAGGACGGCGATCCGATCTTGATGACTGCTTGATTGAACTAGTAAGAGGACGAGAGCGTCAAGCGCGTCTCATTAAATATTATAGTACAGTCTTGCGATTCCAGTGAAGTCTCGATTGCTCTTATCATGCTGATAGTTGAAGTGACGTCACTAGAATCTAGCCTTGGAGAGTTCGTCGGCCCTTGTTAGTTGGAATTGTAATGTAAATTTGACTATTCGAGTATTGAAATTTCCCGATTTCGGAGAATCGTGTTTACGACTTGGCGCGCAATTTTTAACCTAAGCAGGTGTCTTTACCTCTCCCACTTGGTTTACCGCGTAAAATGCTGCAATCCGTAACAATTTGGAATATATAAAAATCATTTAAATAATTTAATTTTAACTTATGAAAAATTAAACATGTATTTAATCTAATATTAATATAAATTGAATAATATTCATCAATAATGTCAATTGAATAATATGTTACGGATTAAAAATTTAAAAGTCGAAAGTTGGAGAGGTCTGAATGCGTAATTCTGTTATTCAAACAAAATACTAGCAACGAACGTTCCAGGCTATGCCCTGTTGACGTCACGACCAATAGCGTCATCGTAACAAACATCAGCTTTTGAGAAATAGTGCGATAATATTTAAAGGCTGCGCTTCACGCGCAGCAGCTCAGTTTGCCTCAATCTATTAACCATTACAAAATCATTATAAAACGCACTATATATTTTCGACCACATCTACAGAAACTATAGTTTAACAATATATATTATTAATAATCAATTAAGTAATAATCTACAAAAGAAATAGTGACATTTCTTCTAAATTATTAATAACGTATTAGTGACCATAAAACAATAGTGAAACATAAAATATATTGAAGCAACTCATACATAAGATAAGACCGACGTAATAAAGGCGCGGCAACAACCATACTACTCACAGATAAGACCGGCATAAAGGCTCGGCATCAACCATACCTCATAGATAAGACCGACGTAATAAAGGCGCGGCAACAACCATACTACTCACAGATAAGACCGGCATAAAGGCTCGGCATCAACCATACCTCATAGATAAGACCGACGTAATAAAGGCGCGGCATCAACCATACCACTATTGTCAACAATTTAATGTATGTTAAGATAGCATTTACTAATTATATAACAAAGGAAGAAATACATTCATAATACGTAACAATAAAAGGAAACTTTATATTTAATCGATTATATCATTTATATACTTCACAATTAATTATTTATTAGTATTATTATATTTTTAATAAAAGAAACAACGATAAACATTAAAAGTAGTTTTGAATAATTGCACTTTCCCTTCACATGCCACCTCCACTCAACATCTAAAGGAGGTTTTTTAGTCTGATCCCGGACAATATGAATCACTAATTTTCTTTTAATAAATCATTTATTAAATTACTAATTGATCTTCAAAAAATATTTAATAAAATAATAAAAGTAAATAATTATATTTCATTAAATTTATATAAAAAATATTATTTCTTAATAAGGGAATGATTTTTGGAAAAGTTATTAAAAAACATTTCTTATTTAACTTTATAATCATAAAGTATATATAACAAGAAAGAATTCCAAACTTTATTGATATTAAAAAAATTAACTTCAAATTAGAATAAGGAATTTTTACAATTCTATTACAATTATAAAAATAGTTTATTAAATTTAATTTGTTCATATTTAAATAATAATTAATTACATAAATAAAACTTACTAAATTTAATTCTATATTTATCTAAAAATTCAATTTGATAAAAATATAAATAATTCTAATGAAATAAAAATAATGAAAATATAAGAACAAATATACTTGATCCATAAATATATTATTTAAAATATACTTATTAAAATTAAGTAATACATTTATTAAATATATACTAAGAAATATATATATAATAAAATTAAATATACAAATTGTCAATATCATAAAGTTATTATTACTCATTACTCCCTTATAAGTAATTTTATATCAATCAAATGTAATTAGATTTAACAATAAATAACATCAATTAAAATACAACACTCACTTTAGCTATAGGTTTCATATTATCTACAATTGTAATTCTACTTATATAATATTCATATAATTTTATTTACCTAAATAATAATCAGAATAAATAAGTTAATAATAAAATTTCACTTTAACTCGTTAAATTTTTTTAAAATTAAAGACTAATATCTTTAAATACCTGAGATTCCTAAAACTAACAATAATAACGTATTAAATCTAGTTAATGGTAATTTATTTATTACTCCATTAAAAAATTTACGTCCTAATTCAATCAGGATATAAATAAGCATATAAATAAGCACAAAAAATTCTATTAAAAAACGCATCAGAAATAATAAATATTATGTCTAATTTAAATCCTTCTTGAACTTTTTTGTATGAAATTCAATTGAATTCATTTTTCATATAATACATCATCAAATCACAGAAATACGTTAACACTAAAAAATATTGTGATAAAAAATTAATTATTTTAAATTTAAATAATATAATAACCTCCAATATTGGAAAAAATAAATTTAAAGATATTAATAATGGTCAAGAACCAATTCAACTAAATGAAAAGGTTGACTTATTTTTTTTATTGAATTTTATCATTATAAAGTTTCTGAACTATCTAAAATTAACAATATAAAAATACATAAGCATGTCAAAATCTAATAAATAATTGGTTATACAATAATTTTAAAAAAAATAAACTTGCAAAAAATTTATAAAGATCTTTTAATACATAAAATTAAATCTTATAATCTTATCAAAAAATGACCTCCGACGACATTAACATATAACACTAAATAATAATTGCTAAAAATAAAATTTGTAATAAATTTCCATTGCTTTACATTATTATAAAGAACGCTTTTAGGAACTATATATGAAAATGTGATTTATATTTTTATTTTATAAAAATATCGTAAATATTAATCGTATTGAAATTGCTAAAGTTAATCTAAGTATAAAATGACTAGGCAAAACAAAAATATGAGATATTATTTCTAATATATTATTTTGAAAAATTACAACTAAATTTGAATAAAAATTAATATATTGTGTACATTCAATTTTTTAATAAATATTTTTTATAATCATTTAATAAATACTGTCAAAAAATAAAGATAAATTCCACAAAAAAAAACATATTAAAGACTTAAACTAAATATTTCCTAGTATTATTGGACAAATTTATTTATAAAATTAATTAAATCCATAAATATTTTTATGGCGTGAACAATCTAATGTATAAAAATGTTCTAAATGTAAGATTAATATTAAGACTCATTTTATTGGCAGTAAATTTACATGTCATAAATTTTATGAAATTTGATATATTCGAAATATAAATGTAAAATTGAAAAACAAAACTTCCTAACCGCTCTCCAAAGTTTTGTAGGTGGTGATTTGATCAGCCATCCTTCGTGCACGATCTCCTGATTCTTGAACGCCTCCATGGTAATCTCTGACCTCGTACGTCATTGAAAACGAGGGAGAAAGATTGTTTCTATATTTTAACGCACTTGCGTTCCTCAACACAAAACTGCTTTTATCTTGCCCCCTCCCGTGCATGATTGCGTTTGTACATGCATTCGTTCCTTTTTAGATTACGTCACCAATAGTAACAATAAATGATTATTTTATCCTTTCGTAAATTTTAACCTTTCAGAACTTTAATTTCAACATTATGAATTTCCCATATAACTTATATAGTGAGTCAAATACAATCAATAATTTTAGTATCTATATGCAAATTATATACTGGTTATCAAATAGACTATTATATTTTTGAATTAGAATTAAATTCACCAAGCAAAATTGCTTCCAAAGTTATAATTTTTGTCTACCACATACATTGAGTTCTGAGTTGTCTTTTGATTAGTATCTGCATCTTTGATCTTTTTCTTTCTTCAGATAATATGTACTTATATATATATATATATATATATGATATATATAATATATATTTATAAATAATATATAATATATTGAATAATAAATAGATAATATATACTTACTATATGTAAATGTGAAAATATAATTTACTTTTTATGATTTACTTTTTATTAGTAATTTATGATAAATGTTATTACCTATGATATGATTGTTTCTGAATTGTTAATATAAGTTTTTTTAATTATATATATTTTAAATCTATAATTTCAATTGTCCTTTAAATAGCCAATTGCGAATATAGTTTCAATATTGCATTGTTGCTTTTCTTTTCACGAATTCTATTTTGTTATAATTATATAACTATAATAAATAATAACATACTATGTATATTTATGTATGCCATAAAAATATTATAATTCTTTTCGTGTAAGAAAAACCTCTATTGGAATGCAATTAAATTAGTCATATTTCAGTATTCCCATAAATTTTTATACTGAAAATATAATCATTTACTACACTTATAATTATTTTATACCGTTCCGTATTTTTAAATGATATTAAGAATTCTCTAGATCTCTCGAAGAACAATTTGACTACAAAAGTGAATAAAAACAATAGCCGTTGTCACTAACAGCAATTTCAATATGCTGATATTAATATTGCTTATTGCAGTAAAACTTTAAATGTTTATCGACTTATGTATATGAAATAATAAAAATAACTATTACAAATAAATAAACTGCATGTAAAAATATATATATATATATATATATGTGTGTGTGTGTGTATGTTACGTATTTACTGAAAAAATTATCCTACCTATAAAAGGTGAAAAATTTAACACCTACATCTAAATCATTGTAAACAAGAATTTGGGATAAGTTGGTAAAATTCTGAAGCAAATGTAAGAAGGAATGTTTTTATTATTCAAAATACTAAAACTGCTTGTTATCTTTATTAGCTATGATAAAAAAACCATTTTACAATATTAAACAATAGGAATAATGAATATATTTTGTTGATACTATCAGATTGACTGGACTGTTCTAAATAGTTAGTTTATTATTAGTTTAACCATTTTTTTTTTAGTCAACATATTTACAACTAAAGCAAATGTTGATTTAAAATCATGTAATGAATTAAAGAATAACATTTAGTTGTAGAATTTCTAAATTTATTTTAAAATGTAAAACTCAAAATTAAATTTTCAAAAATTTATATATAAAAAAATGTTAAAACCTTATATGAAATTCAATCTATTAACGTAATAATGTAGCATATTATTGAAAATTTTGTAAATCTTGTACATTAAATAATATATGATATAATCTACTTTTATTGTATTTATTGCATTACCAATTTATTTGTAAGAGACAAGACAAATTGTAAACGTCACTACATAATCAAACTTTTTCTAAAGTGAACTATTTAGTTTTTCATTTATGATACTGATAAACTAATGTTTTTAACCCAAAAGGTCAAACAATACATGCACATTGTAACATTACATTTGAATGCATATATGTATAATATAACATAAATGGTATTTCTATTTAAGTTATAAAAAATACTTATATTATTTCGTGCTCAATCTGACACTACAATAAATGAATAATAAATTAAAAAGTTTATAATTTTATTAATAATGAATAAGTAATATAAAAGTTTTTTTATATATTTTATATAAACTCAATCTTTTATCAAATAATTATATTACTTGTATAAGTTTTCATTTCACTAAAATAAATTGTTAAAACATTTTTATTAAAAAAAAAAAATAGTTATTTTAATATCCTATAAAATTTAAATATTTAAATTTTTAATTTTATTATTATTCAAATAGTCATGTATAATATATGTATATATGCAACATTGTGTTTAAATATTTAAAAATATTTTATATTCTATTGACATAGATATTAACAATTTGAAAAAGATTGATTTATATTTCTATTTTTTATTCACTTAAAATTAAACTAATTAAATGTAATCTAAGCATATTTACTGTGTGTATAAAATATTTGTTTTTATATTATATTTTTACTATATATTTCTAAAATAATTTTAAATAATCTGAATTTGCATTAAATAGCCTTTCATAATTAAAATTCAATTGTTTAATCTACATAGTTTTAGAAAATTTTTTATATAAAATATTTTTATAAGTTTAGTACTTAATTTTATTATTTAACAGACTTAAAGTAATAGTATGTAAAAAATTAACATGTAGAATAATTAATAAAATTTGTATTATCATGTATTCTTTATAACTTATCATAATTTATTAAATTTTTAGTTCAAAAAGATATTTTTGATTTATAGTTTGTATAAAAATAAACATTAATCTATTATTTTTAGAATAAAATAAAAAACAGTAAATCTGAAATTTAAATAATTAAGACAACACTGTTTATCATGAATTTTTTTCATATCAAGCTTAAGCTCAACAAATTATTGTATTTATAAATAATTTAACAAGTACATTTTTATCTTTAATATAAAAGGTTTTACTAAGAAGTTTCGCTTGATTTTTCATTTACAAGTGACTGAATCATGTCAGTTGTGGTTTGTAAATTTTTACCACATTGTAAACTGGAATGGCTAGATGATCGACTATGACTTTGGCTATCAGGTCCTACTGGCATTTGAACTTGTGGTTTAGGTGGAGTTCGTGCTCCAGATCCATTAACTGATTTTGAATTTGGTTGTAATTGCATGTGATACTTGTAAATATTCTCTGTACTCTCAACAATGCCTAATGTAAAAAATAATTTATTATTTGTTTTATTTTTATAAGTACATTTTTCATTATAATGAATTATTATCTGTTGTAGAACAATTTATCATCAATTATTCTTTTTAAAAGTACAATTTATTGTAATTATATTGGTATATTTTTAATTTCAAAATTATAATATTAATGTATTCAATTTGATATCTAAAATAAATTAATATTCATTATCTTATATTATACTGTTTTTACAAAAGAATATAAAGAGAACAACACATAATAAAATGACTAGTTAATTTAATTCTATTTATTACAAATTATTGGTGGACATTTTAGTTATATTTAGATACATTACATAACATATAAACATGCTACTGTTTCTATAAAGTAAAACAGTAGAGTTTGCTAAATAAATAATAAACAAACAAAAATTTATGACACAATTTAAATTTTACTTAAGTAATCATTTTATAATATGGGAATAATTATTTGTTCGTTCATAATTAATGTATCAATAATCTTATAATATTAATAATTGATTAACCTGCTTGCAAATTTAGGCTACGACCTCGAACACCACTCTCTTTTGATGGTGGACTCCACCAATTGACAAAAGTTCCAACTACAGGAACATGGCGTAAAATTCCATCTTGCCATAATTTTTCGGCATTTTCACGCTCCAAGTCAGTTTGTGCTGCTTCTATACCACGTTTTACCACCTCTGACATTGTGTCCATTAATTTTGAATTTGCTTCTACCTCCTGACCAACTTGAAGGACAAGTGTTAATAATTCTGCTACATCTACAATATTGTTATTTTTAATTTTAATTATTTATAATTTCTTAATTAAATATGAATGAGACTTATATATGACTTAATATACCAATCAGAAATATATTGTTATTCTAAAAATAACAAAAAAAAACTTGAAATAATTATTCTAAATATAAATATTTTAAATTTATATTCAAATACATAAACAATATAAATTATATTTTATATTGAAAATCAAAGTGATTTTTTTATAATTTCAATTTATATTTCAAAATTTGAATAAGAAATTCAATATAGATGATAATACATCTTTTCATAAACCAATTCATAAAATATACCTGTATCATGAGTAACCATTCCAAATCGAACACAAACTAAGCCATCAGTACCTTCACCAAGTGAAAAGGCAGCATCAGTACTTCGTAGTGTTTCCACTAAATGGGTGTTTAAATTATTCAGCTCTTCCTTTGCTTGATCAGTTAACACATGAACCCAAGTAGAAGGCGCATATCTAACACCTCCTAAACCAGCCCAACCTGGCATTTCAACTAAATGCAATGAATCATTTTCCATTACTAATTGTGTAAAGGTTTCTTTGTGATGCACAGTTGCTAGTAGAATATCCTAAATAAAAAAATCAATAATTTGAATAAAGTTGAATACATTTAAAAAGATAATCTATTATTAATATTATTAATTTTTAAAAATGTAAATGAAAATTTTTTTTAATTTGAGCTTGTTGAACTTTGAAAGATTAAAAATGCTATTATTTTTTTTTAATAATATACTATCAATATTTAAATATTAATTGAATACTGTTTGTGTAGGGGTATATTTATGTTTCACCCACACAAAAATTAGACAATTTCAAAAATACTTGTAGGAAATCTTTTATAAAACATACAAAATATTTAAATTTGCATAATTCGTTATAGTAAGAAGAATTCATTTAGGTTTTGTTCATTATTCTAACTCAACATACACTTTTTCCATCAAATATAACATTTTGAAAGCTAGTGGTGGATGAATGGTTGAAAATCATATATCCATATATGGAAGTAAACATATTCTCATCAAACATTTCATTAAATACACGTACATATGTTTACTGGTTATTGCTGTTTTAGTTATTTCAATAAAGATAAATAAAGAAAAGTGAGATTGTAACTCTTTCTTAAATACAGTTTATTTGTTCTAACTACCTTCTACACAATCTATATAATTTTGAAGACTAATTTAAGAATTAACACATTAAATTTATTAATAAAATTTGTAAACTTCATTAATAGAAAAAACTTACGATTTGCTGTTCTAAGCAGGCAACAACGTTATCAATATCATCACTGTTTGGTGGATTCTCAACACTCTCAAGTGGACAAATTCTAATAGCAATTCCATACTGTTCTATTTCACACAGTTCGATACCTACATTTTCAATGTCACGCTGTAAAATCTGACCCAGCCAGGAATTTAATTTATCATAATAAGGTGGTACTCGCTGCAGTTCTTGAAGATCTATGTCGGGTGGTACAAATTGAAATACAAGAGCAGTTGCCACAACTTCAAGCAATTGTGGTCCATTTAACGGATTTATTAACAACTCCTTTATCGTATAAACACCAGATTCACCTCCAGGTTTTTGACTCTAAATCATTTAGATTTTATACCACTTATTAAAAATATTTAATAAAAATATAAACTATAATCAAATTTTGTAATATATTTGAACTGATACGTGAATAGATTGTAATTATAAATTTTGTATACATTTTCAAAATAGTTGTTGGTGTAATTTATACGAAATTTTACTTTTAAATTTTTTGAATATTCAGTTTATTATTAAAATAATATATTTTTTACATACATAATTCTAATTTTTTCCTTTTCATGCTTGTTCTTGAAAAATTTTTATAATTTAAATAGCTTAATTATTTTAATAATTTATCAAAGTAATTAGAATTTTAATTAGCTAAATTACTTCATACAGAAAGAATATATTACAAATACTACAATATATTCATCACAACTTAGTACTCTACTACTTACTAGTAGTCTAATGCAATTAAATTTCTTAATTTTATTGTACAGTTCCTCTACAACTAAGAAACAATGTTTAAAACGATTGACAATGCCATCACGACTTAAAACTTGTAACACCATCCAGAGAGGTAAGGTTGGTAACCGTCTTGATAGAGAGTCTATCATTAAACCAGATATTAATGACAATGTTGTGTCTCTAGAAATTGGATGTGCACTTCTTGTATCTGTTAATCTATACAAAGTCTAGTTATAGCAAAAAATTATCAAGTTAAGGCGTACAAATACCAATTCCAACAATTTTTAAACAAACTTGTGCATAACATTTCTTGATTAAATAACAATATATAAAAAAATTAATCAATACATATTGTACTCTTAAATGAAGCTTTGATTTTAATTAAATACATTAGTTTTCCTAAGTTGTTTACAGACAAATTACAATTAAAATTTAAATATACACAATAAGTGTACAATTAGTGTTATAAAAAAATTTTATAGAATAAAATTTTTATATTTAATGAATATATTGTAATTTTGAAAAGTTAAAAAATTTAATTATAAATGTGTTAAAGGATACAACTACTGGTAATGAAGGTATTCCTAACCAAATGCCAAGTGGTAATGTAATACTATCTGCAATTTTTGAAGACTTAAAATAAAAATAAATTAATTAGTTTTAAAAATCAGAATTAAAAAAATATATAACGTTTATATACAGCATAAAAATATATAAGAATTTTAAAAATATATAACATGAAAACGAATATTATTTTTAATTTTACCATATCTTTTGTTGAATTATTTAAGACTAATGCTGCTAAAGAGTCACCTCGAAGATGTAACCAAACATCATATTTATCACATATGTCACGTAACCTACTTATGTTATCACAATGCCCTGTAAGTACAGACCCTGCTTCTGCTAACAATAATAGTGGTGTTACAGTATTTGATTGAGAATCTTCAGTTAAGCGCCGTTCCAGTACCGAGATATCCATACTATGCTGGGATCCAAATATTGTATTATGTGGAATGGGCCTTATGCAGTGTAATGGTAGTGAAAGCTGAAAAAAATAAAATAATATTATAATTCGTTTAATATTAGATTTTATTTATAACATTTTATTAATAAAATTTTTTATTATTCATAATATTGGTACATCTGTAACAAGTTTATGAATTAACAACAAACAATAATCAATTTATTACTTTGAAAAAGTAATTTAAAAATTGATTAAACCTTTTATTATATATTTTGAGTCACATTTTATTCCTGAAATTCTGATGTTATAAATAATTCTTTTTTACTTAATAAGTATATTTAAAATTTATCATAAAAATTTATAAAATAACATTACTTTGGATTGATTTAAATTTAAATAAAAATATTTTGATTTTTAAGGATATTTAATTATAAAATATTATTTGAATTCTATATAATAAAAAGCAAACATTTTTGAAAAATTAATCTTATGAGAAATTAATAATTTTATTTGTTATTACATAAATACTTTTATTTGATTCACATTATTTATAAAAATATTAATATTTATCATAATAATATCCAAATAAATTTTAAAAACTTAATAATTAAATTTTAATATATTTTATATGAATGTACAATAAAATTTTAAATAAATCTTAATTAATATTTACTTTTAAATCCTTATTAACTTACTTGTTTGCATAAATGCTGAACTAATCCAAGTGGGGCAGTAACTGAACTATAAATTAATGGAGGTGAAGTAGCTAATGCTGTAAAGCCTTCATCTATATATTTAGGATATTTTTTATGTATTGCTAATCGAGTAACCCTTACAAATCCTTCCAATGGATCTTCATGAAAAGATGAAGCACAATCAACAAACCTAAAAATATGACTGAGCCATCTTGTAGTGTCAGCAGCTAAGCGACCAGCTAACCTTTGGGCATGTGGTCTAGGTAATGACATTGCATAAGCTGATACTGAATGAGATATTAAAGCTAATTTGGCTACATCTGTAGTGGATGGTAAGTTTATTGTATGATTCGGTTCAGTTTTTCCATCTTCGATTATTTGAGGAGCATCTTCATATACAATAAGATCCTGTATATAAAAATAATCTTTTATAATACATGAATATTAATAAAATTTATTAATAAGAATTTGTATTTTATTTTCTGAATACTTTTCAATATTTTAAAATCTCATTTCAGTTTTTCGTATCTATATATGTAAGTAATATTAAAATATAAGTATAATATTTTTAGTAAAATCTTAAAGAAATTGAAAAATATTAGAATATTTGTAATACTATTCAATTAAGTTCTGAGATAAATTATCCAAAATTTTATACAAATAAATTATAATTTTATTGTGAACACATTCATAAGGTTCAAATAAAAATATGACTTATAAATTAATTTTTTCATTTTTTATTTCTTATTAATTTGTTAAATTTAATAATAAAATTAATGAACAAATTAGATACTATATATGTTGTCCCACCTGTATTAACGTAAATATTTCTTCGGTTGTTTTAGAATGTGATAAAAAACCTGAAGAATTGTTCCATGTACTACCTTCTGACTTTGTTCCTTTTGAAATAGATTCTTCAAGTTTTGATATTGTCTGAGATGTTTTTAATCTTAATAAATTAATTTCATTCTGTGATAAATCCTATTTAAAAATTTTTGTCATGAATTTAGAAGTATAGCACTTTAAATCAGTCTTCTGTTCAAGTTAATATTTTAAGCAAAATTATTTTTATTATATATCACAAACTAGATTTGATATTAATTAATAATACTAGTTTTAATTTTATATTTATTAATATTTCATATTTGTATTTATATTATTTAATGTTATATTATTGTATTTAAATTATTATATTCAATAAAAATAATATATATATAAATTTATTTTATTTATTTATTACAGAAAATTAAATAAATTAAAACAAAAAAAAAATACATCTTAATAATTTAAATAAAATAATTTTTAACTTTTCATCAGAAGTACAATTTAAACAATTTCTAAACTAGTAACTAAATTACAAATTTAAAAAATTAAAAAGGTTACAATAATACATTGTTTTTACCAAGGTATTTGACAACGCAGCAGTCCCAACACCATCAATCTGTCAAAATATTTTTTTTAATTTATTTTTATCAGTGATTGCTATGCATAATATATTGTTCTTATTGCATTATAATATTGTCTTTGCATTACCATTAAAATAATTTATTTTACTTCAAACATTGTTATTTGAATGTTAAAAGAAAAAAACTTTTTCAGTACAAACCTTTGGAACATTGCTTTGAATTATTGTTTCCATTTCAGATTTGTTGTCAATGCCAAAATCTTCAGCCATCGTGGCAATACACATATAGAACACTATTAAGCCTATAGTAGTGTTGCACCCAACTATGTAATGTACGCTGCTAAATAACATAAGGGTAAAAATCGTTTCGTTTCTTAATCTACACGAATTACATGACTCACATATCGCGATTCTGCAGTCATCGTTCAGTATACCATAAAGTTTTATACTATTATATTATAAAAAAATTATGTAAAACTTCCAAATCAATTAATTTAACTGTTACATTATAAAAAATTGCCTATTTTAAATCCAATTTAAAATATTTTTAACCTTTAAATTAATTGGTAATAGTAACATATTTATAATAAAACTTTTTAATAATATTAATTAATTTATAAAATAAGTTCTATTATTTTCTGTCTTAAATAATTAAATATTTTAATCACAAGATTTTAACCATAAGATTATAAAATATATGATTATGATATAAGATATAAAATTATAAAATAAAAAAATTAAAACAAACATTGTATAGAAATATTTAGTACATTGAATATATTTTAATGAGTATTAAAAATCAATTGTAAAAGAAATATATTTTATGAAATAAAATTATAAGTAATACTATAGACAAGTTTTACTTTATTATATATTGTTTTCTTAACTTCTGTATATTAACTTAAATATAATTACAGTATAATGTCTAATTTATTAATGTAGTATATATATTTATTGAATAATACAGTACACTAATTATTCAATAATAACTTCTGCTCCAACTTTGATTAACACTTGTTTTAAAGATTCTGCTTCATCTTTGGTTAAATCACTTTTTACAATTTGAGGAACAGATTCAATAAATTTTTTGGCTTGAACTAAATTTAATCCTGGTACAGTATTCTTTATTTCTTTTATCAAAGCAACCTTTTGTTTGTCATCATACTTTATCAACTTAAGTGCAAAGAAGCTCTTAATTGGCTGAGGTAATTTTTCTTCCTAAAATCATTGATCTATTAATATTTTATTACTATATATTAAAACTAATTAAAATACTCTATTTAGATATTGTAAAATTAAGCAAATTTTTTAAGATAAGCTCAAATTAAACAATTTTAATTATGTTAAATATGGAGATTTATTTTATACTTTATGTAATCAACAATAATACTACATTATGTATTATATAGTCCTTTTATATTTTTTACTACTATTATTAATATTAACTAATTAAATAATTCAAATATTTTAAAACGTACATTCATTAAAGTTTTTATAACATTAAAAACTTACTTCCTCCTTTTGAATAAAATTTCCAACAGGCAAAATCGAAGAATCAGGTAAATTAAGCCTTTTTTTTAATAAATCACTAAGTTCAGCAACTTCAAGTAAATTAAGAGAAGTAATATCATGTACTATTTTATCAATTTTTGGATTCATTGGTTTGTTATTTTCTTCTGAAATTGGAACTTTTATGCTTTCTGTTTCATTTGCAACTCTTATTTGTATTTGGTTATGTAATAAACTATATAAATTTAAAAATATTTAACTTATAAATTGTATTATAAACAATGCAAGAAAGAAGTGTAAAGTTTTTTTTAAGAAAATGTTACTTAGTATATAAAGAAGAATAAACACATAAAAATAATAATAAAATATGTATATGGTGTAACCATTTTTTATTAAATGAAGTTTTTAAGTAAAACTTTAAAATCGAAAATAGCTAATAAAATAGTGAAATAACGTCGCCTTACAAGTAAATTAAAAAAAAAATAACATAGAAATACCTTTTGTAAAATTGCCGCACATGTACGGTACTTGGTAAAATAATCCTTATAAAATTCATTTTATATTTTTATTGTTTGCACTGATTTATGTTAACACTGTAAAGATTTAAAAAAAAACTAAATATTCGAAACAAACTATTATGTGGTCCTTTTTATCATATAGATACAAAATGGATTTTAGTTTAAGTTTTATTAAACGTTTTTCATGTATACTCCATAAAGCTTGTCTCATTGGTTATTGCAAATGCACGGAATACAAATAAATCGATCACCACAATAAACTGACAATTTGATATAACATTAATTAGTAAAAATTTAGTCTTTTTATTAAAATTTTAATTTATAGGTTTTTTTCCAATAGACATAATTTATAGAGTTTATAAAAAAATAATCCAAAAAATAATAAATTAATTTGAAAAATACAATTTATTAATATTAATAAATTTTTTCAATAAAAAACTTTGAAACTACTAGAACTATTGAAAAAATTATTTATCAAAATAAAACTATAAGTTAAAAATTAATGAAACAATATTCACTGTATCTCAAGAATTTATATAAAAAATCACATACGGAATACACTATACTATGACAATCGTTAGTTAGTAAATTTTCTATTTGAAATTTTTTTCTATATCAAATAAGAGGTATAATAATAAATTAGGTATTACGATATTAAAATAAGTTTATTAAAATAAGATTTTTAAAAAATTAGAAATAATTCTTATTAATTTTACATACTAATTAGTTTACAAACGTAGTATTATAATAATTTATTATAAAATCATAACATAAATTATAAAATTGTACGTGAACTCATTAATTTTCTAAAAACTAATTAAAAATTTCTAAAAATAAATTTCTAAAAATTAACTAAAAAAAAAGTGTTCACATGAGAAATAAATTATTTAAAAAAATAGAATTTACAAAAGAAATTTTTTATTTTGATTTTTAACAAATATTAGTTGTGTATGTAGAGTTGTATTACTATATGAAAGCGTAAAAATTGTTTCGTAATATTCAATTCACAAATAACTGAAATGTGGAAGATAATTAAGAAAATGTAAAATATGAAAATTTTTGATGTTATTTTTATTTTTTTATTATGTTTTATATTTAGACAAAACTAATTATACACTTTACCAAATAAAATTGATTAAATGTTTAATTTAATATTTCTCAGTTCAATATATGCCTTCGTTTACAATAAATTATTATTAGAACTTTTTTTATAGACGAAAAAAAATATGAATATATTTATAGCGTGAAGAAATATGATTTATTACTGTTGTATAGCAAAACATTTTTCAAATCATTTAATTTCAATAATAAATTATAAATTTAGAATAATTTTATATATTGAATATTTCTTATAAACATAAAAGATCAATAAAACAACACCGATATTTCACTTTTTTAATCAATAAATAGTTATCGAACAAAAAAAATTTTTTATAATTTTTCATTCTTTCAAAAAAGACATATTTTGCTTAAAAAATTGTTTTATAATAGTAAAAGTTTCTAAAAGTAATTATATGAAAATTAATTATAATAACTATCATAAGTTTTGTTAACATAGAATAATGTTATTCAATATATATAATATAACGTTATTACAAAGCATCTATTATAAAACATTTTTAATTATAACAGACTTTCTTTTTTATTATTAATTTTTTTAACAAAGAAAAATTATGTTTATATTCTATATATATTTAGAAATAATTATTACAAGTCTTCTTCCTGTTTTATCTTCTGTTATATGTAGTATTTTAATCAACAATGATCCTATATATTTAAATTACAATATTAAATGCCCTCCCATTTTTTAAACATTCTGTTAACATCATTTTTGTTATACAATGAATTAAAAAAATTAATCTAAACATTCTATTGAATTCCATTCATCTTGAATTTTAATTAATCAATATATTAAAAGAATGAAATTATATATATTTAGAACATCACAAGGAAAGTGACATTAAAAGGACAAGGAAAAGTTCAAGTGCAGCAGTTCGTGCATGGAAACTTCCCATTAAACCTGTGAGGAGAAACTGGAAATATCACACTACAACTTGAAGTAAGTCCTTACCTCTAGTGTTGATTCTTCACCTCACGGTTTACTATGAAAACCGCAAGCTGTCCGACCACAGAAGCTTCCCGCGCATGCTCACTACGCAAGACCAGCAATTCGCGCTATACAGTGGCACACATTTCCTCTAACCTCTATCTTAGGCACGTGCTCACTCACACGGCCCACTATTCAGAGGCAACTGCAACACGTGTTAAGATTACGACACAAACAAGAATTGTAGTGTTCGTTCAGAACAAAACAAACGATCATAACCTCTCAAATGGTAATATTCAATAGATTATAACCTATCTTTTTCACAGTAAATCATAATCTCACCAGTTACGTCCAGAGAATAAGGAATTTATCATCCTCTAGTTCTCCAATAAAAGTATATCACAACGCCACATGATTATTGAAAAACATTAAGGTCATTTGTAATCTCATCACGATTAAATATCCCTACATTGGAAATAAATTGAAAATAAATGGAATAAACAGCAATAAGAATTATGTGTTAATTATTGAATCAGTGCATTAACCCTTCCACTTGCCCACGCATTCTCCCACAAAACTGGTGGTTTTCTTAGTTAATTCTACGCGTTTGGTTCCTGAGCCGGATTAATGGAATTAATTTTTACACAGATTATAAGTATAATAGAAAAAGAATAGTTTACTGAAAGCAATATTTAAGATATTACCGAATACGTTTGAGTACAATACTAGCTAGTTATCAATTATGAAGAACCTTATTGTTTAAGGTAAAAATAACTATAAAAATATACGGATCCAACGACATCGTTTAGTATATAATAATGTAAAAATCTGTTCTCACTGATTAATATTTGATTACAATAATAAAAATTATACAGCTGTATATGGTTTCGATACATCAGATCGATTTTGTTAAATTGTTACATCTATAGTTTCTACAAATAGCCACCTTCCAATATTGTCATCAATGACTAATATAGTTATAAAACTGAGAATATACAGAAGTCTTGCGGCATTATACAATGTTACAAAATTTTATAACATTTTCTCATTCTTATCCAACTTCAGGCTGCAGCTATACTTTTAAATTACCAAGCTAGACTTTCAATCAAGGGTAATTGTTTCAGATGACTTTATTAATATCAAACCTTGTGCAATGCTTTTTCCACCTTTCTCCTTGGTTTTGTAAAATTAATTAAAAATATAAATGACCATATAAACTTCTATTTTTGAAAAAATAACAGTCGATCATAAATAAAATTTTTTCATTGTAAATATTTAATGTTATATTTTAAATTAAAAATCTACAATTTTCATGTAATTTAAATATAAATATTCCGATTTAAAATTTCACAATTTCTATTGAATAGTAGTTATTAACTATTTTTAATAAATTATATAAATTATTCATTTCTTTTCTTTTTAAATATATTTGTCTTTTTTCTTTTTTTTTTTTCATTTTTAATATATTTCCTTTGTGTACGTAAATTAATATTTTGTTATTCATTTCATTCTATAGTGTATTAAATTAACAGAATTTTTATTTAATAAAATCAATTTATGGACATTAATAAGCATTTCTTTATGATTGCTTTATCATAAATCCTCTCTCAATAATTTACTTTACAGAGAAAAGTGAAAAAATCTGCACCATTACAATATACATTAAAGTTAACTATATACTTAATTTAAATGAACAAATTTCTTCAATAATTGAAAATTGGTACAAATATTTTTTCTTTAAATTTATTCAACTGAAAAATACAAAATAATTAAATCTATTTTAAATAAAATGAACATTTTTAATGATTTATGGATTTTGAAATAATAAAAACAGTAAAAATAATAATATAAGTTAATTTACAAACAAAAATCAAATAAAAATGAATAATTATGTAAGATTTCACAAATGGCGAATTAATATGAAATTAAATACTAAAGCATTGTTTAGAAAAATAATTAATAAAGAAATTGTTTTTTTAATTACTAATTGGATCAAATTTATGGTAGTAACTTTTATACAAACGTTAATTAAAAATGAAAGATTAATCATGCTTAACATTAATCATGAATCTAAAATTACGATTTCAAGTCTGAACTACTAATTAATTAGTTTATTTTAATTTACAATCTCGATATTACATTGAAAATTTATCTAAGATTTCAATCACAAATTAATATTTAATATTTTATAAATGCAATAAATTCTTTGAAGAAATTAAGTTTTTTAATTAATTTGGTATAATATTTAATATCAACTTGTTGAAGTGAAAGAAATCTTCCAATAAAAATTTCTTTATAAATAATATAAACTTAGTAATTTCATTTTATTATAATAAAAATTATATCTTAATTAATTATATTAAAAATAAACAGAGTTCCAGTAAAAATCACAGTAATTTTTGTTAAACCATTTCTCACATGGTACCAGTACTTATATAAAATATAATAACACTTATGATGCTACAACGACATCGTTGTTTACTCATTTGTCTAAATTTCATACAATATTCCAGTGTCCAACCAAATATCTGATTTTATGTGATTTGTCTTATTAGTTGTCAATCATGAAGAGTTGAGTTTTTGTTAAAACATCGTATAATTTAGTTTATTTTACTGGGTTTGCAAATGTCCACTTGGCAGCTTTATTTGGTTGTTATTTCTTGCTGCCTTCGGTATTGCTCCTATAATTTTGACTCTTTGCTGTTGCTGTTGTATTCGACCTCCATCACAAAATTGCGGTGGTGGTGCGAAAACGAGTTCATCAGGTTCAATAATGGTATTTGACGTAAGAGTACCATCGACATTGAATTCAGGCGGTGGCGGAACAAATATGTCACTACTCTGTTCCTCTGCATCTGCTTCAATTGGTGGTGGTAACTGAGCCAGACTTACTGCGTGCCTCATCAACATGCCACTACTTCCATAACTTGACCTCTTCTGCAAACACCCACCAATGTCAACCATGGTATTACAGTTATCCTTGTCAGAATCTGTAAATGGATCTATGATAAGAGAAGTTGGTTAAATAAAAGAATTCAGTTTATTTAACATTTCTAATACAATAAAAGTACTGTTATAAAAATTTTAATTATATGAATAGTTTAGTATTAAATATTACTTTTTTGATGTTGTTGATAAGAACTGCCTTCTTTATGAACTTGTATATCATCGAAACCTGTAGGAGGACCAACAGGGATATCCTGATCAGAGCTTACACCACTAGAACTGTTATCTCCATCTTCTGCTAGAGATTGTTGAGTCTAAAAATTATAATTTACAATGTGAATTATCGAAGAACTTAGAATGCAAAAATAGTCGATTTGTAAACAAAAAATTTAGTTAAATATTAATGACTGTATTTGATTAAATACAACTTCTCTTTTGAATAAAATATAAAAACTTCTTTAAGATTAAAAGACTTTATTAGAAAAATTTTTTAAATTAAAAATATCAGAAAAATAACTGAGCATTATAAAATCATATATTTTTATCAGTATAAAGTAACTTGCATCATCTAATTCTGCTAATTACATTCAGTTATTATATATATGTATATATATATATATATATATATATGTTATTTAATGAACTTCTCACTGACTCAAACATGCATGAGAACATATAAGCATCTATATTTTGTATGCATATTTGCATATATTTGATATTTTAAATAATTCAGTATTAATTTGTCGATACAACTCGTTTCAAACGTATTAAAATACTGATTCTGTTACAAAATAGTACAAGTAACAAGTTAATGAAAGAAATAGAAAGTAAATCTAGTTATGCCAACATAGTGACTACTGCAATATCAAAAAATACTACTGAAACGATTATTATTAAATTCAGAAACATTGATAAGTATAAGGTGTCTGCAATTGAAACATACTTGTTTCATTCAAAGGATTAAATCAGACTTCTATCAACTTCTTGACAAAGTGGTTGCATTGATGTCAAACCGAGAGCTACTGCAAACGGAGAAAACGAAAGAGCAAACAAGTCACTTTTTATGAAGCAGATCAAAAGTTTTTCTCCGACACATTGTGTATTTTATATGCATCCAATCTAATTGCCATTCTCATTAAAGTGAATTTGAAATAAAATGTATAAATCTGCAGTTGTTTTTCAGAATATGTCCTGGCATAAATTGATAAAAAATTCACCTTTTTCGAAATATTGAGTAAACAAACAAATCTATATGTATTAGCCCTTGTATGGACAAAATAATGGATGGATTTTAGCAATAATAATTTCCTTCAACAAAGAACCTAAGCCCAATTGAATAATGTATACAAATATGCATTCGTTTATATTTTTTGTATTTTTATGGATAAAAGAAGTGCGTTAAAATAACTAAAATTCAATTATATATATAATCTAAAATTATATTATTTTATATAGTAAATAATGAACATTAAAGAAGTCATTCGATTAACTTATGTACCTATACATATTTTTAAGTATATATAAAAAATTATTCCATTTTTTACTAAATCTTTAAAAAAAAAATAGTGAAAGTATAAATATTAACAATACTAAACATTAACAAGACTACAAATACCTTTAAATGTTTCCTAACATTCTGGATCTCTTCGACATTAAAGGAATGTGGAAGAGAACTAGAGCCGGTTGAATTGCTGCTAGTGCCACTGCCAGCTGAGACATTTGAATTTCCGGATGTCTCACGCGTTGATTCAAGTTTGTCACGTACAGCTGCCTTCTCTAACTCATTGGTGATCTCTATTTCTTCGCCTTCGTCTGTCAAATGTTCATCGTTTTCTGACTCACTTAAGCTATAATCTGGCTCTGGTATTAAGGGTACTGATAAACCACTATTGTTGCAATCTGCAGTTCAAATAATTACAATCATTAAACTTTTGAAATAATTTATATATACTTGCTAATTTTATGAAAATTCTATTTATAAATTATTTATAATTTCCAGATAGATAATTAATACATATATACATCCATATTTGCTTGTATATTTGTTTACTTGTTTGTTTGTTTCTTGTTTGTTTATTTCTTTATTTGCTTATGAGTGTGTATGTCTTATACTTTCAATAAAAATTTAAATATCTGTACAAGTATATAATTTTTTTTTTAATAGATTATTGATTGTAAAAAAATATTAAAATAAAATTTGCATTTAATTCCTATAATTTTAAAAGGTATTTAAAGTATATATGAATTATTAGAAAACATATTTATTTAATCATGATGATTATATTAATGATTTTAATGTGTACGTCTTCAAACTTCATTTCCTAGGCAAAATAATCAATAAATATGTTTTATCTTGAAAATTAAATTTTCTTTATCTTTAATTCGAGTTATTAAAAATAATTATCATTAATGAAGGGAAAACAACATTTATTTACCTCCAGATACCTCTGATAAATTGGAAGCACACGAACTAGTAATGATGTTCGCTTTTTTTTTTCTTTCGCGAATGGTACCCACGATACTGTGACTTCTGCCGTTTTTTAATGGTTGGGCATACTGATTAGCGGTGTTAACTCCTATAGATGTGATTCCCTTTGCCTGACCGTTTATTAGGCCACCGGAACTACCGTTAGCGATTTGAGTCCCATCAAACTTGAAAGAAGCGCCCCTGGTCCCATTAGGCGTGCGTAAACTGTGAGACTTGCGTAGCTGAGAACGAGTGGAATGGCTTGGCAGACTCAGTGAACGATAACCGACGGTCTTTCTATCTTCGGGAGAGGCATAAAGTTTTGCACTGTTACATGGCCGGAAGCTTGACATCACTCCATATTTGTTCTCTGCTGTTGCCGCAACAAGCTCTATTAAGATAAAAATAATTAAATTTGTTTTTTTCTTTAAATTGTTCTATAATAGGCAATTTATGATAGTGAAGCATTTAATAAAACGAAATATAAAATTCATAGGTAGATTTTAATTAAAAATGAATAAAGATTATAAATACATTATAAATTTCTTCAACTAAATTGCATACGAATATTGATATATAGACTTCAATTTGGTATATTAATATTTATTACACTAGAATGTCATTTCTAATATCTGATAGTAATTTAAAGTACTACATCAAGATAATACTATGGTATTACCATGAAACTTTTTTAATAAGAATATTTTGTACACATGCATAAAAAGGCTTATATGTAGAAAAAAATACAAAATTAATTGAAATCCAATTTTTTGTTTTTGAGACAGTTTTATGTCAAGCATATGTTGAAATATTACATATGTAGAGTTACAATCAGTTACTCTGCAAATTAGTAATAATAGAACAAATGTATTATTTCTCTAGTTAAAACAAATTAAATTATTTTATTATTTAAAATACTGTGATCATGTATTAAGTATATCAGGTATTCCGATAAATAAAATTTTAAGTTATAAATATTTACAATAGTGTACAAAAATTTTATAACTAAAATATTACAAATTTTTATTAACAAGAAATGAAAATAAACCAATTTATATCATTTTTATTAAATTTAAAAAACAATAAAAGAATTTATTCAATTTAAGTATTTGCAAATATTTAACTTATATTGAAATATTAAATTTGAAAAATTAAATATTAACTGATAAATCAAATATGTAACATTTGTAAAAAAAACATCTCTGATTATAATTTAGATTTAAAACTATTTTAATGCATCACAACAGTGTTTAAAAATTTTATTTTATTTCTATGCTAATAATAGTACTATAGTATCTTTCGCCATTTAAACAAATTTACAACTCATTTAGTACCACAATGATGTTACTTTGATACCAAAATCATACTGTTTCCCATTGTACTAAAATACGACTTCAAATTAAGAAAAAATTCAAATTTGCATGTAATCATTTTTTATTATTGAATGGGATAAATATAAGAAATACTTTATTTCAGTAAAATATATATATTTAGAATTTCAGTTTACGATACATACTAATATAGCTTTTTAATTATATAATATTTTTTATACTATTTTATTTATGAAAGTTTTATTTTTTAAATAGTTTTTATTTAGATATTTTATATTATTAATTATACATAATATAATATTAAATATCAATCTTTGAAAAATACAAAACAAATTTAAATCATAATATAATAATGCACAAAAAATATTGTTATTACTACACACCTTTGACGTGTTGGATGTGGGTTATGTTGTCGTACACAGAAACTGAGGTACTGATATCGGATACGGATTCACCGACATTAACTTTGATCATTTGGCTGATAGGTGGTGGTGGTGGTGGATGATTGGGTGGCGGGAGACCAGAATTTCTCCCCAGAATTACGTTCACGTCTTCTTGACTACGGTGACCTTTTAACACTAAATTTGATGTGTTTTGTGCTTGAATGTTTAAGTCGGGTGTGCTATGGAAATCACGATGCAAATCCGAACCATTACCCAAACCTCCAAAAAAACGTACCCGCGATGACTGCAAGGATAAATAAAATAAAAAGTTAAAAGAGTAAATTATACATAAACATAATTAATAAATAGTATTGAAAATAGCATATTTGTCATAAAAACAATTGATCTTTAATATTTTCAAAATGCCATTATTTATATTTTTTATTAGTAAAAAAAAATCCCAGAAAGCAATTTGATCTAAATTTCCAAAATAAATTTTTGTATTTAAAATATAAAAGTACTAATTTAAACATATATTTTACTTTATTTTTATTTTATTTAAATAAGTTTGATATATAAGTTGTAAAACATCTTAAATTCTATTAACTTTCTAACTATTTATACTTTATGTTGAAACAATTATACTTTATGATTACAATTTCTGTTAATAGGTGTAAATAAGCATGCAATTTATAAATGGATAAATTACATATTATTTTCAATGTACATTTTAAAAATTAAAATTATATTTATATGATGTATAAATACATCATTACAATATTGAATTAATATAAATAGCTTTCTCATTGCATAATCTATTTGATTATTCATGATTATTGTTTAACTATTGCATTGAAATTAATAACCAGAACATGCAACTAACTCAGAAAAAGATTCATGCATTACTTCAATATACATTTTATATTAGAGCATTAAGAAGAAATAAAATTTTCTTTTCTTTTTTTTTTTAAATAAAATATTAAATATACAACATTTTAAAAACTGGTGCATAAGCAAAGTCAAAAGAAAATTAATATTCAATAGTAATCATTATATATTTTGCCTAATGTACTTTATACATATACATATATATAATAAAAAATTCATAAATAAAATATTCTTTATTCTTGTTGAGATTTACAATGAAGCTTGGTAATTGTAGACCAGTAATTGTTTTATATGATAATTAATAATTCTCTTCGTGCATATATTAATATGCTTATACACGAATGTCCTAACCGAAGTTATTAATGGTATTTTCAAAACGATATTAATACGTAATATTAAATTTTATCTTTTGATCTAAATGTTTTAAAATAATATGACTATCTATCTAAATATGACTTCTCTTTATGTGATATATATAAGCGAGATTTAGGAAATGAAGGTGATCTTGAGATCGTCCTTACTTTTCCCTTTCGTTTCATCTCAGCGACACTGGCGTAGACTCGGCCAGATTTAGCCTTCGATGTTGAGTGTAATTTTGTGCTAATTATGCCATTCTGAAGGTTTGAGATCGTGCTCATCTGTACCGAAGAACCATAATGAGCGGGAGTAACAATAGTTATGCTACCATCGTTGGCGCTTTGCTGGCGCTGGAAGAGTTCCTGAAATAAAAAGGAGAACGGACGATGCTGAAGCCGTTCACATCACGTACTCGGACTTCCATTGCCTTTTTTTTTATTCGATGTACTATATCAATTAAATTAGTAAATTTTTAAATCTTATGATAGTCATATATTATTGTTGATAGTGTAATATGAACGATAAGAAAAAATAACCATGATTTTAATATATTCGATAAATATAAATCAAGTATTTGTTTAATATTGAATTCTAATACTAGTACAATTCATTTGGTTAACACTATTCATTTTGAAATTTTACTATATTTATTATAGACTTGTACTCTTTTGGGTTAATCAAATTAATTATTTTTTCATATAATAAATATTTTGAGTAATATTTAACTCTTGTTTAAAAGTAAAATGATTAAAATATCTTTATAATAGATATTGGTTATAAAAGTAAAATTCTCAATTTCAAATCTAACTAACAATGAAGGGGTTTGAAAAACTTATGCCAATTCTTGAGTATTTCTGAAATATTTTAACAAATGTAAAAATATAATGTATATAATATATTTAATATTTTAAAAGAAAATTTAGTCACAAAACACAACTTTTATTATTATGCTATTATAATTAATAAACTTTTGGTATAAGATAAAAATCACTTGGATATATTGAATTAGATAATTAGACTTTATATAGTTATATAAAGCATGTATAATATCCATTAAATATGTATTTATATAGAAATTTTATCTAAGAAAAAAATGAAAATGAAAATAAACAAACATTTTTGTAATTTATCAATCGATTCAAAATATATTAAATACATTATGATTATTATTATATTATTATATTTAATTTTATTATAACTATAAATTAAATTATACTTAATTTATAAATATCTAGTATTCACACTACATTTCATTCTCTGAATGCATTTTTCAAACACCTCATGCAAAAAGATGCCAGATAAAGATAGTAGTAGTAATAATAAAAACAAAACATTAAATAATTTGATAACAAATTTTTAATCGTTTTGTATATATAGCATACATGCTCTCTGCTTGAACTCGAAACAACAGTCACATCTATGAAACTTATTCGTTTTCATTTCTGATTAATGTATGGTATTGATAAACTAAAAACATGCATATTTAACGGTTCTTGCCGATATATATATATATATATGTCAATTTACCTCCAGCTCAACAGCGGTGATACGGCTAGATGTTGGCCTTGAGCGAATACTTGCCGTCCTTGGTTGGTTTTGAATATTTTGCTCAATGTTGAGGCATATTGTATTTTGTAGAGTTAAATGAAGAGACTCGGAGCTGTTAGTTTTCATAGATTCTCGGGCTACATCATTGCACTCATTCTTTTCACTGTTATCTTCTAAGATAAAATTTTTCGACATTATAATAATTTTTAAATATTTAAGCTAAATTACTTAATTATACTAAATATGTAAAATTACAGATATTGTTAAAGACTAAACGATATACAAATGTAAAATTAAGACATTTAACATTTTATTATGTCTAAAGCTTGAAAATATACTATTTTTAAAATATTAGCACTTAATTATTTGAAATGAAATATCTCAATATCTGAATATGTTTTAATATTTTTCATATATGAAAGTCCAGTTTCAACCCAACACTTTTATAATGAAGTAATATGGATAATTAAAGTTAAATTGTTTAGGAATGAATTAGTCTTTTCAATCACTTCTCATTATAAAATTATTATTAGATTAAAAGACAAATTCTAACTATTTATGGAAACTAAAAATAAATTACTGAATTTTCATAGTTTTAATTTTCTTAATTTGTAAAGAGATGTAAGTTCAATAAATGATATTGTCTCGACAGAATATTTATCTATTAAGACGAATAATTTTAACGAAATGTATGCATCGAAGATATAGCCATACAAATTTAGATACATAATATCAAAATGAATAGTAGAAAGGAAATTAATTGATAAAAAAATAACATTATATATTTTTAATCTATAAGATAATTAGTCGGTTTAAAATAAAAGATTCAGTGATAAAAAATCGATGTTTTTAATATTTTCTACGAGTAAAATGCTCACGAATATATTCATAATAACAAAAGCTAATATTTTAGTCAATTACTAAGATACGTTATTGAATTACAATTATATATATTAAAGAATGTTAATATATATATATATATATATCAATTGTTGCTCAATTTTTTATATATTTATTATTCGGTTACTATATATTAAATATATAGTCAAAAATTGACTTTCTATCTAGAATTTAAATCAGAAATTCAATTTTAATAAAGTTATAATTTTTTAAACTCTCAAATTATTTTCTTTATATGTATATAAACTTACATATTTATATTAAAATACATTTGATACAGTAATAATCAACATATATTACATCATTTATTGATTCTAATCTACCAGTTATTTTAACTATAATAGCACGTACCGATTTCATATTTTAGCAAATATTTCCACAGTGTTTGTATCATAAGTAAAATTCTACATAACAACGTGGTACAGCTAGATCAATAAATTAAAAAAATATATGGGAACATTACCTAGACCCGCAACCATTGAACGAGCCCTTGCTCGACCTACGCTAAGAGTAGTTTTTGGATCTCTGCGTGGCGGCATGGGAGCAGGTGACCTGCCTAGTGTTCCGCCTATGGCTATGTTATTATGTGTCTTACGAGGCAATGTTGCGTATTGCCTCTGAAACAACTGACTAGTCTGGAAGGCAGCTGTCGATTGCAAATTCGGAAGGTTTAGCACTGGCGATACCACTGCCATACGTACGAGCTCGCCTGATTTCCTGATCAAGTCGACTACGTGCTCGTGCAGAGCCATCGTTACATCTTCTCCATTTATCTGTTGGTTATTTACTTTCGTTATTTTAAAGGAATTTCGTTATTTCAATGAAAGTCTTATAACACTACACAGTTACATGATCGAATTAACCAATGTAGTAATTAATGCCTCATACTGCATTATATATGCTAATTCTTAATATTCTTTTATACAAATATAAAAATTTGAAAATATTAATAAAATAAATATTAAATATAAATATTAAATACAAAATAACTAATATTAAAAAATATTTTTTTCATGTCAGCTTATGAAAATTAAGTTATAGATATGTTTCTAGTAAACATATATAATTTACTCAAATGATAAATATATTACATAAGTTTTGCACAATTTTTATTTTTTATGTTGCAAAGTAAAATTGAAATGTATTTTTATATCTAATAATAAAATCAAACATCGAAAGATTTGTCCGAACCATTTTCTATACATTATAGTTCTTATATTGACATACTTGAATAAGAAAATCTCCTTTACGTAAACCTGCAAGATCAGCTACACCACCTTTGTCAACATCATCTAGATATTGAAGAGCTGGATACCTGGTGGTCAACGTCAATTCTGCGATGTTCGTTGTAGACTTGGCACCACGTAAAACAAACCCAAAACCTTTTCGCGAGCGATGGAGAATAACTGTGCGTGGTTCTGAAGTTATTCTGAAATAAAATAATATGAAATTATTAATTGTTAATTCATTACTATGAAAACTGTTACTTAAATATGAGATTTCATCACTATATGATACAAGGCAAAGATTTGTATTTATATATGTTTGTATATATAGGAATTTAAATACAATATAAAAGGATTAACTATCAACTTCAAGGTATATATTCGATGTCTAAACACTGTATTTTCAATATATCATTAACATATTTTTAATGTTCATATCATATTTGAAAAAATAGGAAGAATAAAATGTTTAATACATTATTTTCAACAGCAAGCTATAGAAAACATTTTATGTAACTATGTATCACATAGTAATAAAGAAACAGTATTAAAGCCTTAAAAATATAGATTCATAAAGGAATTTATATACTAATTGATATCCACAAGAAATTATCAATCAAATATGCCGATTCATTTATAGTGCATAAGGTTACACATTCATTATTAATGAAATAAATTATGATACTTCAATAACTTTACATTAAATTAATTTTAATATTAATAAAAGTATTTCAAATTATTGAAAACACTTATAATAAATAATCAATACAAATAATAACAATAGTATTTGTATCTTTATTCAATAGCATTTTTAATTATATATTACATTTTTATCACATGCCTACAAACACAAAATTTTCGTATGTTTTAATAAATTATATATATTATTTATTAAAACAATAAATAATAAATACGATAGATCTAAATAAAGTCAATTTTTGTACACAATTTAAACGTATATTCTCACGATTTTTTTAATCTAGGGGCAGTGGCAAAATACTTGTCCTGCGACTCCCGACGACCCAACACCCGACTTCTGTTGATCACCGCCACCGCTGCCTCCCTTGCAATTGCCTGTGAACCGAGCGGAATCGTTGTATGTCGCAACCTGACTTCCTGTACACAGTGAGCTGGAAAGAGTCCAGTACCTTGTCCACGTAGTACACCCTCAAGCAGACCGCAGTCTGTTGCGCCAGTCACTGTGGTGGATATACAAAATTATTATTTTTATTAACAATAGTACAATCTCGTTCAAATAATATTCAATTTTGATCTTTATGTGTTTAAACTATGAAATGCAACAAAACTTAACATTGTTTTAACCGATTAATAAATTATTATATATTATTTAAATTTTTTGAAATCAAAGAAAAATTAATATGAATGTGAACGAATTTATTATGAACTACATTTTATTATTCCAAAGTGTCTTCTATGTAACGTGATTAGGAATATGTTTAGTTTTTATTTTATAATTTATTATGAAATACATTTCATTTTTCAAAAATGTTTTCCTTGTAACGCAACTAGGAATCTTTTTAGTTTTTTACATGTTAATGTAAAAAAACAGATGATAATTATTGTTCATGCTTTACATAATCTTATTTCAGTTTCCTATCTTACATATAACTTAATATGAGATGGAACTATAGATATTATAGAAAGTGTTCATCAATCACTAACAAATATTTCTTATCCGAAGCATTTTGAAATTATGCTAACCTTCAAGTATATCGCCTTGATTGATATTTAAGTGTCCAGGTATGCTGCTAGTGTATCCCTCAATGCAAACGACAGTTGTGCCAGGTATTAATAGCGAATTATTAGTGGTATCAGACTGAGAAGTTCCGACGCCTGAGCTGTCGCTGATGATGTCTGAGGCCGTGTCACCGAGGCTTTTGTCTGGAACAATCGGGCGCGAGCCAGAGCCGCGTGATGTCAAACATGTATCCATTATCCGGATGTATGAATATTGCCCTGTTCTTATTTTTCACTCTTGTCTTCCCGTCTCGCGTAAAATGATTAACGTAAATACTGATAAGAAAAGATTACGATGTATGCTACAGTATAACCGATAGACGATTACATTATCCAATGACTGTTTTCATTTACTTTTAATTTAAATTCGTATCCATTTTTGCATATTTGATCCTTCAATGATTTGCCGAGTTTTGAACATACTGCAACAAAGTTCTAAATTGTTTACTACCGAAATTCTGTTTTTCGAAGAATTGTTGATATGTAAAATTTTTTAATCTGACTATTTAATGATAAATGTGTTTGTACTATGTATTTATAAAGATTTAATTTCAAACTAACCTTTTCAATGTATGAAATATTCAAGTTAAATAACTTTATCAAGATATCTTAAATAAATAAATATCTTTAAAATCTGTAATTTATAAATTGTATTTATTTGATTTTTACATTATATCATTATTTATTAAATATATTAAAACTAATATACAACTGGAAAACATATAAGTATAATATAATCGATAATTAAATGTATAAATGTTTACATAGTTTTACATTATTTTAATAGCATTCTAATAATTTAAAATTTGTTTTAAGAAATTTATAAATAAAAAGTATAACATTTGTATTTCCAAACTAACAAACGAAATACGTTTATGTTATAAGCATCAATTGGGAAATTTAATTTAAAAATGTCTTTTTCTGTAGTTATACTAAATAATTGCTTTACTATTCAATATTTTTTAACTAATAAAACAATATTTGTTTCCATTATAATAAATGCTTGAAAATAATTTTGGTTCCACTTTTAATGCGTATAAAAATTTTAGAATGATGTCACAAAGTAGAAAAAGATAATTTTTATTTCGAATCGTAAGATAATGATACTTTTAATGATACTTATACGTAAAATAAGGTTTAAATTATAGATAAATTAAATATAAGGTAAATTAAATTATACAACTTCAACTTTGAAATACATTAGATGCATATGAATATCATGATTCTAACATCATTATTACATAATCTACATAAGGCTTATTTACCACAAATAAATAGTGTATTGATAAAATATGTATATTATTGTAGTTTCTTATTAAGTCTGTTTAATTGAATAAATTGAACAAAAAATGCATTAATTAAGCGTTTGAATATTTTTAAAATACTCTTTGATTAATTATAAATGGAATTTTTATCATAGTTTATTTTTACAAAAACAAAATAATATTTGTCTATATTTATCGATAGTAGAGTAATATTTTCTTATATTTAAAATCAAATAAAAATATAATAGCATTTATAAGTATAAGAAAATAATACTGTAAAATTTATTAAACTGTCTTCTTTTAAACAGAAATATTTAATCGGTGTTATTTGTATTACTTCCATCGTGTTTCTGTAATTATTTGTTTTTCTAGTAGAAAAAAATAGAAAAATGTAAATAAATATTTACTATAAACATACTTTTTATATATTTTTTTTAATTTGGCTTTGATTTACAAAACCGTATTATATTATAAAAACAATTTCTGTTATCATTCTTAAAAACTATATATTAATTAAAGATGAATATTTAATTTATTGTTTTTAATTCTTAACATGATTAAAAAACATATTATAGTTTTTAAATATTTTTAAATTATATTTATTAATAACTATTACATTTTAAGTTGTAAATGAATAAATGAAAAAAATTATAGTTTACCACTGTTTTAAAAACATAAAATATTGAACTACTAATTAATAACATTGAAAATTAAATTGAGGTCAAAAATAAACTAGTTTATTGAAAATTCTTATATATAACATTCTAACAAATAGATGAATGTGACTACGTGATGAATATTTATTAAATGTGAGTGAGAAATATGATAATATAGTTATAAAAAACATTCTAAGTCTAAAAATCAACCATAACATCTATGATTATAAATTATTATAGAAATACTACAATTATAAAACCAAATATGTATGAAAAATTAAAGTTCTAATAAAACAAATATTATGTTTCAGTATAAAAATATCTAGTGCAAAGAAATCTATAATCTATCAACGAATTTAATTTCTTTTATTTCTGCACAGCAAAGCTTAAAACACTGAAAAACGAAATTCCTCATTTTACACGTAAGGTAAAATCACTACCTCCAGCAGAAAATATTTTTCTCAAGCAATATTGTGCGATTTTCCTGATGGTGTTGCATGTATCACGAAGAGATGTCAAGTTCTTCCACCTCCGAAATGTTCCGGGTAAATCTCAGATGAGAATTTTTCAATAAAATGAATAAAAAAGAAAGAGATATAGAAATAAAAACAAAGAACTAGAAGAGAGGGAGGAAGAGAAAGAAAAAAAGAAATTTAAAAGGTTTAAAAAATAAATTATAAAAAAAGGAAAAATCATAACCACAGTATTTATTATTTCAGTAACGTTATGTTAATTATATTATCAAAGTTACTTCATTATATTTATAGTGTTTGCGGAATTATGCTACGAAAATAATTTTTTTTAGTATTCCAACAAGATTTCAAATAATACTATACTTTCTTAATATTGTCAATTATCAATTTTCCTTTTTAATATTTTAATCGTCGTTTAATCATATGAAAATAAGAAAACTATACTGAGTATAGATTAAAAATTTTGGCTTATTTTTCCAATAACAAATTGTAAAGATTATAGTGCAATAAAATATAATAAATCAAATTAAATATTTTAAATACTAGTTATTTATTGAAAGTTTTTATACTTGACAACAATAATTAGAATTGAGTTTCAATATATTTGTCTATGTTTGTTTTTATATATGAAATAGTTAAAGAAAACAGAGAGAGAGAGAGAGAGAGAGAGAGAGAGAGAGAGAGAGAGGAAGAGATTGAAATGAAAATTTCAATAAATGTACCTGTAACAATGCTAGCTGAGTCCTCGATGGAAGGTTGATTGCTGCCCTCAGAAAGACTGGAGCTCGCGGAACTAAAAGGTGCTAGGCTCCGACTGCTCGGCGATGGTGAGGGCGGCATATCCATCGGCCTCAGACCGAGGACGCCGCCCCCGGCTTGTATGTCAAGTCGGTGCTGGAGCTCGATCCGATGCTCCTGTAGCCTCATTAGGCCGCCTACCCGCACGTTCTGATAGTGTTCGCCACTCGGTAATCTTTAAAGGATTTTTGCATACGCGCAGGCGTTTACATCACCATTGCATGTTCTTCGATCTCGGTATTCATTACTTTCAGTATTCGCAATTCGGTCTTAACGCCATGGATTGTCACTCAACTTAATATTGAACTAATGACTTCCATGTCTTCTGTTTTTCTCAAATGTTTTTTCTCTTTTCATTCATAATTATACTAAGAAACACGGAAAATAATATAGAATTCAATTTTTATAATAGATAATTTGCATGTATATAATATGTTGTGTAATATATAATACATTGTAAATATAATATAACCGTAACTTTTCTAGATATTTTTTATTTTAGATATAAATATTTATTATTTTAATTGAAACAAAACTAGAACTGAAGACAGTGTTTAATTATACGGGTAATAAATATTATAATTTATTAATTAATCAAAATATTTGTAAAATTTTAACATTTCTTAAATTATTCGGTTTACAGTATTATTTTAATTTTTAAACACTATAAATAAATAATTATAATTTATGAATTGTTTCATTTAAAAATTTATAAGTATTTATTTGGGTTCATATCACTATTTATCTATTCCAAACATAAATTAGTAACAAATTTATAGATTAAGACCGAATTATAAAAAGTATGTTTCAGTCGGAGGTAGGCGTAAATTGTCTTTGCAATTGCGATTGCAGCTATTATTTGGATTTTGGAAAACTATTTGAGGATTAAATATTAAAAAGGATTTTTCTTAATATTATAAAGGTTATGATGTTAATAAAGCTTATAATTTTATAAAAATAATCATCATGATGTTATAATATAGATATCATGAAATAATCTATGAATAAATTAAACGTTTTCAATAATCTTTTTTTTATTTATGATTAAAGAATACGTTATTAAAGAAACAGAGTGGAGGAGAAAGGGAATACAGTTTCATCATAGTTGCGATATAGAGAGAGACTGAGTTTAATTACATATTCAGCTTATTAATTGCAATAATTCCGAATTCATATGTTTAATTTAGAAAAACTAAATAATTTAAATAATTTAACGCTAAATAATTTAAAATTATTTAAGTATATTTAATTTAAAATATACTAAAATATATTCAAGACAATTATATAATTATATTTTAAATAAATACAAAAATTTAACTAATCATATAATATTTTAATTAATAATAAGTTTAAAATTCTATTTAAAATTTTTTAATTTGTTTAAGTGCGTGGATGTATAAACTCAATTTCTTATCAGAGCAAAGACAGTTTATGCTTACCTCGCAGCGTGATCCCTGAGCTGCGTAGGACTTTGATAATCCAAGTTCAATCTCTGCTGTTTGTGCTGTTCGGACGGAATTCTATGGATGATACTCGTGGTTATACTCGATGCAATAACAGCAGCACTACCCTGTTGATGCTGCTCTTCAATAGACAATATTCTGTTGAGACACCTATGGTGCGAGTTAGTCCTTGGCATTATATCATGATTGTGCTGATGCTGGTGCTCAGTCGTAGACATTATTGTTGTCGAATTAGACCGACCCAAACTGCCGGAGGCAAGGTATGCATCGGCTGATGAAACTACCCGACTGGGATTGTTGTTAGTTCCACAATGTTCGGCACAAGGGAAAGAATTATTTGCCGAGCTCGGATTCGACAAAAGTGACATTGACATGTCAATCGGTGATGGGGATGTAAGGAATTGATGATACTCAGAAGTCATTGCCTGTAGCCTGGTGAAGGTGCCGAGGTTGCTCGCGGAAATGTTCGTCGAAAGGCTGCCGAAGGCCACCGAGCGCCTTTTTGGATTGTAGCGTGGAGGGCCCTTGAACGGCACTGCAAATGTATCATGGTATCCATACAATTGCGGATTTATTCTTATCTTTCTTTGATTTTTGCTTTTCGTTGGTGTTGAATTTTTCAAATTTCTGCTTTCTATCTAATTTTCATTTTTTAGTTTTTCTTCTTGCTGTTTGTTCATTCGCTTGCTTTCTTTTACTCCTCTATGTTTTTTATTATCACAGCACAATTGTCAACGATTCAGAAATGATCAATTTTATAAGATACTTTTAATTTTTATTTGTAATTTAATTAAAAAAATCTTTCTTTCAAGTAAAAAAAACATCTTAATTGTATTTTAGACCGATTTTTCCAAATGTTAAAATTGTGAGGATGTATATTTAATATCTAGATTTAAATAAAAAATTATTTATAACATTAAATTTAAGACATTAGTTTTTCATAATTTATAAATCTTAATATAAATTAATTTTTCTAAATATATGATTAACTACATTAAATTTATAGTAGTCAGGTTTTAATGACTGAAATTAAAAATATAAAGTATTCGTAACAGGTAATAAAAATAGCAATTAATCGTGTTAATGTAAAAGATTTTAGTTGCCCTAGTATGTATTATAATAATATTAATTATTATATTCAATATTAATATTATTTTTCTTATTTTCCATCATATGAAAATAATTTTAATGAATACATTACTTTGGTCAAATTTTTAATTTTCTAATAATTTTATATGAAAAGATTTTTTTTAATATAATTCTTTATAAAGTAGATTTATAAAAAGCTGTATTTAAATTCTTAAATTTCAACTGATAAATGATAAGTTCTATTAATAGTTCTAAATATTTAACTATATTTAAGAAAAGTGATCGATGAGAAAAATATAAATTTAGTAATTTCACTCATAATATATTTTAAGAATTTTAAGAACCGGAATCCACTAGATCAATAATCCATCAAGTTTATAGTTTTCCTAGTTTGAATTACATTCAATCTTAATGTAAATATATTTAAATATAAAAACTATTATTTGGCATTATAATTAATTAGGAATGATTAATTAGTCCAATCATTTATTCAATCTGGATAACATAATATTCAAATGTGCAATGATCTGTACAATGTTAAAGCTTGCAAATACAAAATTTATTTATAAATATCTGTATTTTAATACGTCAAGACTACTTTTTTAAAAACCTTCGAATATTTATATTATGACGCAGCATGCAGAAGTCCCGTATTAGTAAAATGACATTTTACAAACATGTACCTTTAGACTCATTAATCTTATAAAGCCATAATAGTGAACCTCAAAACAAATGTAGTTCAAACTACATTATCAACAGATATGGGCAATGTAACCAATTTATTGAAAAATATAAAGAAATGATTCAATTGCTATTATATAATAATATAATAATATAATAATATGAATAATGTATTTAATAATATTAAATATTCGTTAAATTCAGATTTTATAAAAATCGTTTTTTGCTAACATATATTAAAATTATTTATGAATACTGTATATACATTATACAGAATTTCAGATTTTATAGCACCTGTACATTAAAAATAAACTATTAACATAAATGCAATCATTTTTATATTCAATCAGTATATTAGAAAAATCTGTTTACATACAATTTAGTTACTAATAGCTTTTTACATAATAAACTAAATAAATATAAAAGTAATTTTTCATTTGATTTTTCGTTATAAATCGTTAATATAACATAATTAAATCAAATTAATCATTTCTGTCAGTTTATTCGTTTGCTCCAGAATTTTTTTTTGGAATATGATTCATTAGTACACGATGCTTATCGTAAACAGTTTTGTACATAATTTCAAGATTATTGTAACTTTTGTATATTCGTGCGTTGTATCGACCATTTTCGTATTCCTTACATATTTTATTTAGTATGCAATATTTATACATTATACTTTTATATAAAAATACAATATATATGTATTAAAGTTGACTATATTAATTTATTTCAGTAAAATTTTACATAATTATACATCATATTTACTTGACATATTTAAAAAAACTAATTAGAGTGAATAATAGGTTTCTTATAAAAAAAATTCCAAAATTTAAAATATCTTGTCTCATTATTTTTCAAAAAATTATGTCATTACTTAAAATAAGGAATTTTATGTATACATACATACGTATATATATATATATATATATATATATAAAAGGAAAGATAATTTTAATTATTATTATTTAAGATAATTTTTTTAATATTCATTTTCATTAATGTAATGAAATAAATCAATTTTTCAATATTAAAGTAAATTTAAAATCTAATTAATGATAGTATCGATATGCATTTAATTTATATTTATATATAATATAAATTTATATTGAATAAAAAATAAATAATTTTTCAAATTTAAAGAAACTTACATATATTTAGTAAATTTTATATCAAAATATGATTTTATTTTTTTTTAATATTAATTGCGATGAGAGTAACAAATCTTGGTTAATATAGGTCCAATAATTTATTGGCATTAACTATACGCATATAGATTATAAGCTTGTGAAATTATATATAATGAAAATTATAATAAGCATCTAAACAGGTAAACTACAATATGTACATGGATACAAACGTACGCATTCATGCAAAGAACTGTAAAAAGTACAAAGAAGATGCAAAGAGGTAGCAGCGTGCAGGCATTGAATTTCTCTCTCTCTCTCTCTCTCTCTCTCTCTCTCTCTTTCTCTTTCTTTAACTCTTTCTATATTCTGTGTTCATAACCTTACTTTCTTGTATATGGTTGATATAATTGCGATGAAAATACATTAATTTTTGGTAAAATATTAAATAAACTTTACTGTTTAAAAATTTACGTGACTACACTTACATTTAATACTTCGTAAAAATTTGTTTTTACTTTATTATTAGATATATGAAAATTACATATATGCCTAGTTAAATTAATTACAGAGATAAACAAATAACATAATAGATGATACATAAATGTACCTGCTTATTTAAATTTAAAGTTCCTATTTTTTTCTGATTTTTTATCGTTTAATATTAACAATATTAGTAATTTATCTTCGACTAAGATATATGATATATTTCTTCATTAAATGATAACCAAGTAAGTTTATATGTAATTCTTGAAAAAAACATAGTGTCATAAATACAAAAAAAGTCTATATTTAACCACATTAAAAGAAATAAAACGAATATGAGCCAAAAAAAGTCCACTTAGTCGTGTGCTAAAACTCACCAACTTCATCAGGCTGATAGTTCTTTATGACATCGGCAAGCTCCATGTTTCCTGCTATCACCGCAACTTGATAAGGCGTTTGATTCGCGTAATTAAGAGCATCCTTTTGAGCTCCGCGAAACAAGAGTTGTCTGATGCATGAAGAGTCGATATTGTTAACCGCACAAACATGAAGAGGCGTGTTGCCAGATGCATTGCGCGCATTCATATCTGCTCCGTAAAAGAGTAAGTGATCTAAGTGCTGGACCAGGTTGTTTCGACAAGCCTACCATAAATTAAGTTGAAGATTAATATTTGTTGCGTTATAAAAGTTAAGTGTTATCCTTCATAGAATTACAAAAAATTAAAAATATTCAACAAGTAAAAATGCATATTTTCTTTAATATTCGAGACACTGGCCTAAATGAATAATCAAAAAATAAAATAATTTACTATTAATTATAATAATTTTCTTTATTCAAAGATTACCAATTTACGATACTCCCTCCAAGATACAAAAAACAGTTTATAAATATATTTGCATTTTATTTATCTTTTACTATTTTCTTTTTAGAATCTGATTAGCTATGGATAAATATAATAATCAATTTTCTCATAATACATAAAAATAAAACAATTACCAACGTAGAAAACATGAGTTATATACGATATTAAGAATTTATATGTTTAATATTTTGAATGAAACATTCTTTGAGAACCTTAAAATTTGTGTAAAATAAAATAAGATTAATTAAATTAAATATATAAAAACAAAAATATCATACAATAAAACATAATTAAATATTCATATCTTTAAATTAACTAAATTATTTAAATATATTTTACTAATAACTAGAAACTAAAATGGTAAATATGATCTCGTTTTCAGTGACATTTAATATGAAGCTATAAATAATTATCAAATACAATTTATTTATCATAAATTTGTTTGTATTGTACTATGAACATACTACAATTAAAAACTTCATATTTGAAAGATCTAGTATCGTGCAATGCTAAGAGTTTTTTAAATTTCACGTAACGTATGTAGATATATAAATTTTCCATTATTTATAATTGTTATAATGTATTCCAATGAATTATATATGAACGAAAATGGAAAATTTATGCATGCTATATGGAAAGAAATAGGGAGGGAGAAAAAGGGAAACATAAAAGAAATAAAGATAGACAGAGGAATTGCATCAAACTGATCACAGAATATAAATAGAATATTAATACGAACTTATATTCAAGTGGTAAATATTTTAGATCTTTCCTAAATATTATTTTTGCTTACATGCATTTACTGAGTGAATTTATCGTTGAAATATAAAACGCCTACGTCTACTAAACACATCTATTACGAATAGTAAAAATTAACAAATTGAATTCGTGACAGAAAAATTAGAAGAGACAAGTAGAATGGCATCATCATTAATTGCGAAAATGATCAAATTAAAGGTATGAACTTTATTTATGATTTTGCTAAAATTATTTGCTTTTTATATTTCTTTTACTAATAAAATATACTTTGCAAGCCCCTTCTGAAAGGATTGTGTTGCGTTTAACTATAACTGAAAATGTTCTTTTTTAACTTATCTGAACTGATTGTCTTTATCTTGTTTTAATCTTAAGTTATAAAAAATTCATTACTTAAAACAGAATTTCTCGTGTTTTATAATTGAAATTGATTGTTTACTTCCGCGCGTATAACGTATAGAAAAATATGTATATTTATAAACATTTTTTATGTTTTTATATGTATATAAATCTATACACATATCCATGCGAATATATCAATAATAAGATTCATACAATATATATATATATATATATATATATATATATATATATATGTGGATTATATACCATGATAAAATCTAAATTATTTTATCATTAAATTAGTTGAAATTTTTATTTTTATTTAACATTAAATAGTTGAAATTAGATGTGTTTGTGAAATATTATTTATATACGTACTAAAAGATTACAAATATGTTAAAATTAAGAATCAAATTATTTTTAGAAAGTAATAAAAAAATTGGAAGAAATATTGTTGTAATTACATTACAATGCTCACCTGGTGAACCTCCTGCCAGCCTTGTAAATCTTGGGCCCCAATGGTTGCATGATCATGTAGCAGTGTTTCGCATAACATCGGATCGGTCTTGTATATAACACTGTAATAAAGGGGCGTAAGGCCCTTTGTATCTTTATAGTTCGGACTAGCACCGAGCTCCAGTAGGGTCTTAACAGCCTCAAGATTATTGCGCTCGACTGCGCGATGAAGTGCCGTGAGCCCTTCCTTTGTTCTATAGTCGAGAAGGGCACCTCCGTTTACCAGTGCAATTACTACCTTAGATGACTTTTTTAGAGTCGTCGCTAGAGTTAATGGCGTTTCTGTTTTAAATTATAAAAATCTTTTTCAATACACATAACTTTTAATATTGTATAATATAATAATAATTTATTAAAGGCATAATTAACATTGAACACAAAATGAAATACTGAAATTGTGTATATTTACCTTGATATTGAAAATAGTATTTTAAAACAGTTACAACTATTTATGCATTTTAAATCTAATCAATATCTTAGTATTACAATTAGTACATCAATTGATAAAATATATTTCCCTTTTGAATACATATTATTGATATTTTATCAATTTACATATATATATAGTATGAATTTTTTTTTAATCTCTTAACAAGATTTTAAATATAATAATTTTTAAATAATATGAATATTTTTTAAAATAAATTCAAATGTTAATTATTAAATATACTTTAAAATTTGTTTTAAAAAATCTAATCTTTATGTTTATTTTAGTATATATTTTTTTAATAGCTTACATCTCGAAAATTTTGCTACATTTGTCTCATACGTGTATTTTATTTGCATTTAACACTAATTTTTATATGAACAACTTATAAACGTATTAACAGTCGAAATTTAACACTATTAAAATATATTTTTAAAGAGATTATTAAAATGTGTCGATTCATTTGAACACCGTATTATATAAGCATTTTTTAACAGCATAATTTTAATAACAATTATTACAGAAATGAAAATCAATCATTATGTATATCCTTCCAATTAAAAACTTTTCCATCTATATATACTTTAGGAAACACATACTGCTACTATTTCTTTAAAAATTCTGTCCAAATTATCAGATAAAGTACTTCTTAGGTACATTGACCTTCTGCAAATATGACCTTGGTTAGTGGGATTCGTCCCTTTATCTAAGGACGATTTTTCCGAGTAGGACGCATCTTACTGCTCGGAAATAACGCACGGGGTCCAAGTAACGGTTGTTAGAGAGCAAACGAGTTTCCCACTAGAGCCATTGCTGCTTCTCTTTTTTCAGAGGTACGAGCAACCATCGCTAACTCTGTGCAGCTGGCTGTATCGTTATGCATCAAGAATTTTGTTTATATCGGTATTTCATAGCATATGAAATCAATACAGTTAACATTATTAAATGTACCAAAATTAAAATTCTTTAGTATGACCTAATCGTTACAATGAACCAAACCAATCGGGATTTTCTAATTAGTTACATTAGTATATATAAATAATAATCTATTTAAATTTAACATATTGACTTAAACAAAATATGTATATATATATCTATATATGATTTCGTTTTACTTCAATTAGATATCTGGATTGTTTATTCGTGAATTTCAAAAGTATAAGTGTAGCATATTTTTTATATGGACCTTCTTTATTTAACAATTGATATTGGTTACAATGAAATGAAAAATATTTAAACTTTTTGATATCATTAAATAAGATTAAAGGCATAATTTATTAATACTTAAACTTGTAACTTAAAAAATATTCGAGTTAAATATTGAATTTAATTAAATTTACATTTGTGAAAATTTTACATAAAAGCTGTTTTTAATCTATCGACTTTTAATCAATGTTTTTATAAAATAAGAACATATAAGATATAAGATTTGTCATTGCATTGAATGTTATTATTTTATTACATTGAATACATAATAAACTTTTAACAGTATAAACTTAATTTTAGCAACAAGATAGTTATTTTAAAATATATGCATATACCCTACAATGTAATTATTTATAATTATTTAAATTAAAAATAACTAATAATTACTTTAAATATTTATGCATGAATAATTACGATTATTAAGATGTACAACAATTACTACATACAGACAAATGCTTTTATTTTATATTCCTTTGAAGAGGTAAGTAGTTTCACACCATGCAAATTAAAATATAATTCATACTTTTAATATTTAAAGATTTTCGTTTACTTTTTTCGGATTCTTTTAAACATAAAACTTAAAACATAAAATTATATAGCTTACCACCAGTGTCTTGACAGTGAAAATTCGGGTCTAGGCCCTTACCACACATCTTAGAAATTTTTTCAACTTGACTGTTGGTCACGTAGTCTAGTAGGCGTCGAATATTTGTTCTGGTATGCATGGCTTTTAACTGTTTCTCGTCAACGTGCAACATTTTGTAAACTCTTCTTTTGTATTTGAGCTGAAGAACACAAATAAAAGTATTCATTTACTATGTGGATATTTGCTTTAAATGAATATATTTAAAAATTAAAAAGCTTTAAAATATAAATATGTATTAATCAATTAAACGTTCATTTTATTTTAATACAATAAAAAAGTTATACTAATGAAATAATTTGCAAGTAGGATTTTTAAAATCAACCTCTGAACGAAGATTTATAATTAACTTTTAACATTCATTATTTTTATCATCTTTTTTTATTAGAAGCTATTTTATTGTCGGTGTTTCTACGATTAAATAACTGATGAAAATCTGTATAAAATATATTAACTTTCTGAACTTGCAAAGCTACTATTTATAATAGTATATAGTAGTATTTAGAATAGAAAAGATATTATTTGCTGTCTTTAATATATTAACAACAAGAATGTAAGGTTCATTAACTATAGGTAATTATTTAGTACCAATGCTTATGATTTTTTATGATTATACGTTGTAAGAACAAAATACTTATATATCTTAATAAAACACATATATCTACATATACAAGAAAATACTAAAATTTTTAACAAAATAAAGAAAATGGAAAACTGGTGCAATAAAAAATCATAGTTAATAATAGAAAATGTCTTCAACAAAGAATTAATTTTATTCGTTTACAAATTCACAAATTACTGCTTAAACAAATTCACATTATTAATAATGATAATTTTCAATTTACTACTTTTTATTCTTTTAATATTTGAAAATCTGATTATTGATTTTAATTTAAAATTATATAATAGCAAAAATTATAAAATATTTATGTATTACTTACTATTTGTGAAAATTCAAAACTATATTATATATTTATCCTTAAATTATAAGTCCTAATTTATTAATAATGATTAATTATTAAATTAATTGATAAATAATTATGTACAAAATTACATTTGATTTAGTGCGTTTTACTTAGTCACATAGTTAATTTAATCCTTTAGTCATTGTTAACTTTCTAATCCTTTTTTTTGAACTCCTAATATCCTTAAGTTCTATCACCTAATAACACTATGAAAACCTTATTATATTATTTTTATAGTTAGAGATTGAGACAATTACAACTTTAATTAAATTCTGGTGTTGACCTTTTGTTTTAGATAATAATACAAAATGCAGATATTGAGGAAATAGTACCTTAAAATTTTAAAATTCATTAATATTGAGTATTGAATTAGATAAAAATTAGATAAATCTATAAATTACTACTGTAGATGCTTATTATAAGGAATTTTTTTACAATTAAAATTATCAGATTGTTTCTAATAACAGCATTTATTTTGGCTATTTATTGAACTCTTAATGGACGCAATATCACTTTTTTACCACTGATGTTTTTGTATGCTCGAATTAGCTTTTATATTTTAATAAAGATAATAAAGATTTTAATCATTTTATTACTGTTATAGCTCTAATCTCTGTATATTAAAGTTCATATTGAACCGAAAAATTCATCACTGGCGCTCTTTAAATTTTCAGCAATTTCACAATTAAAATTTTTATCTTTCTCCGAGCTGAAACTAAAACAATGTTAAATATAATCGAATAATCCAGCAAGTAAATATAGATATGATTAAATATTCGAATATCGTTCTTCGCAAGTTAAAAATAGCAACCTTAAGATACAATTATGCATAAACCAACACATTTGTATAAAAACAGAAATATGAAGTTAACAATTAAAAAAATGCAATAAAAAATAAATAAGTAATAAGCAGTTATGTTATATAAAACTATCTTTCTCGTATGTACGACAAATACTTAACTTATTGTACCGATTTTAACTGTACTAAATATGGGCCAATTGAATCATTCAATTGAAATTGAATCAATTGAACATATATAAATCGAATTAAAAAGAACTATAGACAAAGAGATAGTCATATAGTTTAGAATTAGACTATGGCTACCAGTTTCCTAGTGGGAGAAAAGTGTGGATACGTGGAAGGGGTAGCGCTTCAATTCAGTATTTAACACATCTGCTATTCGTGCTTGTTATTTCGTTTATTTTATAACTACAATATAATGATTATATGTTGGTAATGAGAATTGGCGAGGGCTTGGTATTTCTGGGTTGTTGCCACATGGTTTCAGCATGCACTACTTGTAGAGGCAGGAGGTCATAAATCTCCGGATCCTCTTGAAGCAGTGCGCTTGGTGGTGAAATACTACACCGAGAAGTAAGAGGTCGTAAATCTCTTGACATTTCTTCGTATAGTGCCACGTGGTGGTAAATTGATTGCTGGTCTCCTCCAAGCTGTCTTGTGGTGTGGAAGAGTGAACAAATGGTTCAATACCTTGATGTGGCGTCGAATGGTGTTGCTTGCTCTGACTTGTGGAAGCGACCACTTGAGAGAGTGCAGTTGGCACAGAGTATAAGAGAGTCCTGCGAGAGTGCGCGATGGCACTGTATATGAGAAAGCCTGTAACAGCTTCGTGCTCGGAGCACTGTGAATAAGATTCTACTTAGTATGAAACTGTTGAGAGTACCTTCCGTAGCGGCTCTACTAACAGTGTGTGCGATTGCTCGAGTGACTCGTTTTTGGCTGAATAGCGCCCATCTCGTGGTACGGTTGCCTTAAATATGCACGGGGCAGCTTTGTTGGCTGACAATAAGGAGGCGATTGTGATGCTTGAAACAATGGATGCGATTGTGCACTTGTTTCTCGGGATCTCCAACGACCGTTGGAAAATTTCACAAAAATTATAACCGTTGGAATTTTCTCCGAAATGATAGCCGTGATTATAGTCGAAATTATAGTCGTTGTAGTTTTCCCAGAAATTATAACATTCGAGAGATTTTCGGAATCTCGAGCACAGATATATATATAGAAAGGGAGAGTGAGAGAGAGAGAGAGAGAGAGAGAGAGAGTAAGGAATGCTTTCAAACCAGAAAAAATCCCCCATCAAATCATAGCTTTTATGAATAGGTATGTAAATTCTGTTACCCTAATGAAAGATAAACATTTATAAAAAAAGTATATAAGCAACAATTTATTTCATTCTCTTAGTAATGACGTTCACAGGAATAACTTATTAATTTGTATACATTTTAAACCACACAAATTTAAAATAATAATAAATAACTGAAAACTATTAAACTTTAAATGACTTATTAATTTCGGAAAATTGTTCATGCTCTAACCAACGAACAATAACCATGGAATTATTTTTCTCTATAAAGATAGATTTTTATAAAAATGATTTTACTTATGCAACTACATTTAAAATTAGTTTTGCTAATTGTTCAAAAAATAATTCCACTAATCTGACTCGTCAGCCAAACGTGTAAAATCAACTTAGAACAAAAAACCACTAGATGTTGTATGGGAAAATGCTGGGCAAGTAAACGGTTAATGCACTGATTCAATAATTAACACATATAATTATTACTGCTGTTTATTCCATTTATTTCACTTTATTTCAATTACAAATGACTTTATATTTCTTAATAATCTTGTGGCGTTGAGATATACTTTTTTATTGGAGAACTAGAAGATGATCAATTTCTTATTCTCTGCATGCAACTGGTGAGATTATGATTTACTGTGAAAAGAAATAGGTTATAATCTATTGAATATTATCACTTTGGAGGTTATGATCGTTGTAGTGTTCTGATCGAATATTACAATCTTGCCGCGTTTCAACTCAACACGTGTTGCAGTTGCCTCCGAATAATGGGCCGTGTACGAGCCTAAAATAGAGGTTATGCGGAGCTGTGCGCCACTTGTGGCGTTAACAACTGATCGTTGCTGCGATCTGTTCTTTCAGTGTGGCGCGAATAGCTGTTCGTTGAAGGAAATGAAATAGCCACTGTGTGGCGTCAACAGATAATCAGTACTAACGGTAAGGGCTTACTTGCAGTGTAGCGTGATTCTTGCAGTCCCTCTTCGTTGGCTTGATGTGAAGTTCCCCTTGAATAATTGCAGCTCTTAAGTTTTTTCCTTGTCTCCAAATGAGATTACAAGTGGTCTGGTCCTATGCAATTTAATATGGATGAGATCAATTTTAACTGTATATTGACTCACAGTCGTAGAAAGAACTTTTACTAGACTCAGCTGAACGACTATTGTCTCCGGTCATCCTCCGTGAGAGTAAGTCGTGACTTATCCTTTCAATCATGAGAAGAATAGGAATAGGAATAAGCGGTTATTACATTGTCCTTCTTAAATAGTTCACTGACCCAGTTCCACTTGGGACCCCTTCTTCTTTCAATTATCCAATCAGAGGTTGACCTTGGGCAGCACAATGGATTATGCACGCCTTCATTTCCATTTCCTTCCGGGCTCAGTCCCGAATATGCTAATCGGGAAAGTGTGGGAAAGTGGGGAGCTTTTACTATTAGTCACCCCTCCTTGGTCGCCTGTCCCTTCTCTGGGACTAGGCTAGATGAAGGGTCCTCTTCGGCGTAGTCGATCTTCCAGTGCGATCGACTAGATGCGACGTAGTTAAGAACAAGATAAGCATTGTCTTAAAAAGCCGAGTGCGCGCGTACGCCTATTGCTTGTTGTCGCACGTGCGGGGTTTTGGGTTGCAGCGAAATTTAAGAAATATTTGTACTTAATATTTTACGTATATCTGATACTCTTTCAGAATCTACGTCTTCTTAGCAGTAAACAACATAACAGTTTTACTGCACCGGAAAAGCATGAGCACGTTTTTAGATAAGCAAGAATAAATAAGCTAATTATTCACTGGAGTTTTCCAGATATATTGACCGTGTCGAGTGTCCAGCGACCGTGGGAAGTCGTGGCAAAAAAATGTTCTCGCATTCTCTAACACTAATACATATGTGGAAATGTGCGAAATGTTTCTAATTTGCATAACAATGTTAAAAAATAATTTAGAATAATGTATAAAAATGGTGGTAATCGGTACTCAAAATAATTATTCTTTTTACAATAATTATATTAAATACTAAATCATTATTATTAATTGCATAGAACACGACAAAAAATATATATATAATTAAAACGATTTATAACTATTACATTTTTTATCCGTATTTTCTATTCTTCGTTTTCAAACTAATTTATATATAATTTTATTTTGTAAAATGTGTAAAATACTATTTTCAATAACGTGAAAAAACTGATTTCTAATATTTCTAAAAACAATTTTCTAATTATTTTTTCGTTTGTATAGCTATATATTTTTAAATTACTTTTAATTATTTAAATATAGTACATTTTTTAAGTTATTATTTAAATAAAATTTGACACAGGGTAATTTAATTTAAAAAAATCAATTTTTCTAAAGCTGAATCAGATGGTAAATAATATTTTTAAAAATGACACAAATATCTTAGCTAATCTTCATTAAAATTCAACCAATATAATTAGATTTATTATTTTAGACTTATTATTTCAACATTTTTCGATAAATATTTTCATTCATCAATCGATTTGAAAATATAAATAAATATAAACTTTCTTTATTGAAGTAATAAAGGCTCATATTTATTTATAATTCTTGATTATTTTGTAATTATATTTTATTGAACATTCAATATTTTTTCATTTAGAATTAAATCACAAATAAAATAAATAAAGAAGAATTAAAACCCACCTCTAGGTAACCGACACTTCCATTAAAAGGATAATCCCCGAGTCGGCGCTCTTCATCTAAGAATTTTCCAGCCTTTCCATTCACTGGCGGATAGAAAAGGCCATAATTGAAGCTTTCTTTCAATTCCTATAAAAACACAGAATCGTAATTGAATAGAAAAGTTGAATAAAAAAATAGAGTCGAAAAGTTTATAAACAATTGTAATATCTACATTTCTATATATACCTGCAAATAAATAAGCACAAGGAGCAAGTATGCGGGAGTGAAGCTGAGATTAACATTTACAGACTTATACGCGTGCTTATATTCATGCGCGTAAGCACATATTTATTCGTGCAAATGTCAAAACGAATTTAAAAATATTTAATTTAATTAAAAATTATGTTTTTGTGAGTTTACAGTTAGTTTATACTTGACATATACAAAATTTCAATGCAAATAAGTTATAATAATTATTTATTTGTCACAATTATTACAAACATTTTCGAAAGTGCAATGATAAATATACTTAGGGAAATAAATTGAGTAAATATCCATTCTGTAACACAGTTTTATATTTTATTCAACAAATACTCATATCTTTATTTCTAACTTATAATTATTCTCTGATATATTTATCAATAAACGTTCATATATTTATACAAATTATTTTTTTATAATTAATAAATTAAAGTTCATAATATAAATTATATTATATGAACATTGTATGTATTCTCTAATTTAATAGATATAATTTTGAAACTGACAATTAGGTCAGTCTTCTAAACGTAATAATGTTAAAGCGTATAAATGCCTCTTCATTTTATTAAACTAAAAATTTTATTAGAATTACTATAAATTAATTAGAATTTAATGAAATTAGAATGACTATAAAATTAATATAAAAATTATTATTTAATTAGTAACAATTATTTATTACTCTGTAATAATTTACTATTTTATTTGTTTAATAAATTTAAATGCAGTAACAAATTGCTTAAGAATAAGTATTTATAATTATGTAAGCACATAAATATTATATTTCCAATTCTTATAATTATTTACAGTACCTAATCAATAATTTAAAATTTATTTCTTCAAAATAATCTCTGAATTTAGATGTATGAAATAGATTTATTGAGCTATATAATTTATTATTACTTTTTCCTTAATTTTTTACAATTTGTAGAATAAACAATAAATGTAGTTTGTATTATATTCAATAAAAAATAAATTTTTATTATTACACTTTATATAAAATAAAAATTAAATAAATGTTAAAAGAACGTATACCACAAAAATTAAGATAACTATGTTTTACTCAAAAGTAATATAAATATTATCATAAAAATTAAAAGATGAATTTTAAATTATTGCGAAGCAATGAAAATCATAACCTACCATAAACCAAATAAAAAGTTTAAATTACTCAATAAATATCAAACATCAATGTAATTTCTTAAGACTAAACTGACAGCTAACCGATGTTGCGTTCATCCCAATATTATGTGTTCATATTCAGTCTTCGATTTGTTTTAACTGTAGTTTAGTTAACTATAACAATTAACTGTCACCATATTTTTATTACGAATATTAATAATTTTTATTGTTCATTTAATAAAATGTAGAAATAATTACAGTTTAGCTATGTAAATAGTAACATCGCAATAATAGGTTCTTAATATTAAACTAGTAACGAAAGTATTTTATATTTTTATATTTATAGTTGTGCACACGTATATATTTGTGCGTATCTGTTAAATTTTTTACTAAGAATAAAAAAAAATTAAATAAATCATTTATTATTTGATTCACATTTGAAAATTATAAACTATGATAATACGTATCATTAATATTTGCTCAAAAATTTTCGTTTATATTTATTTTTAATATTATAAATTTACAAAATATATCTTCAAACCGAATGTAATTTATTTATTTTTTATACAAGTAGATTTACAATATTTCTAAACTAATACGATCGTACAATTTAAAAACAATTGTTATGTATAATAAGATTATAAGGTATAAAATACAATAATTTATACATAAATTTTTGTTACTTAACTATTTTAAATACAGAAAATATTTTACATATTTTAATAGAATCGTATATTAATTGTAAATATTTTAATAAAAATTTATTCAAATACACCCCTAATCTTTAAAACAGAAGTTAATCGTGTAAATATAACTCGATAAGTTCGTCTTTACTATAGGTATTTTACTATAATTTTTCATTTACTGCAATATTTATTCGAATAGACGCGATTTGGTACAATACATCTTTTAAGAAAGCTTTCATAATCTTACTTTATTACGTTCAGTAATAAATTAGCTTTAAGATCTTAACCATTATTTATGCTAGCACCAAGCTTACCCTTTAATTAATTACGTATCAATTTTATGGTATATGAATCAAACAGTGTTTCTCTCTTACTTTTACATACTTTTTACAGTTTGAAAAGAAATTTTATTATATTACAACCAAAGGATTTAGTTTTTAGGCGAGGCTATCAGTTGTGGAACAACTATTGTTAAGTATTATTGCTTTATAAATAGATTTTTTTAAATTTTATAAAAATTTTATTTTAATGTATTTATTATAATCGAGAAAATTAGATATAAGAATTTTTACCAAATACATTGTATGCTAATAAACACAGTTCTTTAATTTCACGAGCAACTAATATTATGTCTTTTGAAAAATCACAAAAGTAAATTGTCTATGTAAGATATTTATTTATGTAAATACTTAAAGACTTTTCATAAATATTGAAAAAACTGTGATATTTTAACACAAACAAATTTAATGGTTCAAAATGTGAACTGATCTAGCCCTCTACCAGTAGAAGCCATGGCACGAGTCTCGGTCTGCCCTCAGCAGTACCGCCATGGAACGGTCGGCATTTTCGGCAGAGCCGCCACGAAACGATCAAGCCCTCGATTTCGTGCGCGTATTCAAAAAGCTTATAAACTCATTGTAATTCTACTTCGCATTACTCGCGTATTTCAATCTTATTACCACTCAGTGTTTTAGCATATACTGTGACGACGACACGTGGCCGCACATTTGGCAACAAACCTAAAAATTCACGTGCATTAAAAATAATGGGAAATCAGCAATGAACTAACACTTTGAACACCGTACAGCCCCACAAATAGTCGACACAAGTGACGCAACACGTCAATTACATTGTTGTCAAATCCAAACAACAATCTTCATGACAATGAAGTCCTTCAGAGCTCGATGGTATGTCACTAATAATTCTTGCGTCTGACTAATTTTTCAACTGCTCCCATAAATAACTAAGGACATAATTGATTACGTACCAACCTCCATCAAAATTCTACACCATTAGTATTGTCATAATTTCTACCAAACATACCTTACTTTAAACACCATCTTCTTGCTACCTCGTGAGCATGATCGACTACACAGGCTTATATTTACATCAATATAACCTCAATTCTCAAGATACAGAGTAATTTCCATAACATCTACAATAATCAAGAATCAAGGAAACACCCTCACTACTACAATAGAATAATTCTCTCTCTCAAAAACAGTGCAATATTATTATAATATTTAACAAATAATAAACATTGTTTTTACTAAAAATACATAATACATATTTTTCAGCCCTTCCACTTATTATTACCTTTTAAGTTATCATGACGAGAGACTAATCTACTGAACTATTGAATTGGCAGTTCAAACCATAAAACAAATCCTTAAAAATCGAACAAGATGTATTAAGATATATATATATATATATATATATATATATATATATATATATATATATCCCTATATATCAAAGTGAGGATAAAAATACGTTGATAATTGAAAATGAAGCATCATTAATATATTGGCGCTAATTACAACTTTATTTTAAGATATCATCATAATAAATACATTTTTTTTGTAATATTCCATCAAATAATGACATTCGTGCTCTTTGTATTATTACATTATTTTAATTAACGATATATTTGAGATAATTTACTTGTAGCAATTCTATTTCGTTATAAATCTATCATTTTTATAATACAAAGAATTTAGTAAATTGCTTAAATTACTTAAAAAATTATAAAAATATTTATTCAGTCACAATTCATAGTATAATTTATAAAAATAATTCCTATAATACATTATAGGTATATAAGTATTATATTTTATAAAAGTATATGAATTATAAAAGTATATGAATGTTCTAATGAATTGTTCTAATGAATTTTAAAAATAATTTTACATTATAGAATGTATTTCCAGGTGCTAATGTCACATGAAACGTGTAGAGAAAGGGAAAGAAATTCATTCTGTTTTACTTTATTCTTTATTATTATTCTTTAATTATTCTTTACATTTTTAAATTACTTTATATAAAATTATAAAAGATTTATAAAAATTTATTTATTTATAAAGTTTATAAATGTTAATTAGTAAAATGTATTAATAAAAATCTAATGAATATTACTACATATAAATATGTTATAATTTCAAGATTTGCATATACAAATATTAATATTTATTAAAAATAACAAATTAATATTAACATACCTAATGCTAGTAAACTTTTTTTCTAATACCTATAAGTTTGTTCATTTTCTTGAGATTAGTAATCGGATTTTATACAAATTAAACATTTTAAACACTTAAGAAATGTAATCTCTTTTATACTGTATAAAAGAACGAATACAAGTTAGTACATATAACAAAAATATAAATTATCACGAGTAAAATAATATGAAATCAAATTTAGTACGAATAAATATTTTTTGAACTTTGATTAAAATGATTATTATTTTATTTGTTATTGATAAAATTGTAATTTTATTTTAGTTTATATTTTTATAAAATAATAACACTGATGACTTAATACATTTATAATTGAAAAAATTAAATTTTTATAATATGATTATTTTTGTAATAAGTTAAAAGTAATGCAATATAACTTAATATTTACATCGAAATTTATTTCACTTATCTGTTTTTTATACTAGGTAATCGTGGAGAGCAAACCACACTTTTTAAAAAATTCATTAAATCTTAGTAAATTAAAACTAGGTATTAACATACCAATATTGAAAAAACGGAAATAAGATATAAAAATTTGGATTCTAAGTGATCGTTTATGCTACAA